TGTTTTGGTTCCGGAGTAGACTCTTATAGAAGCCCTTGTTAACCATGTGCTGTTAAATTTACAAAAGAAGCAAAAACAACCCAACACAATCTGCAATGTATGCATGTTTTAATTAAAACCTAAAGCTAAAAATACAGGAATTAACCACTGCTGTACCTGCTGTGATTTATTGCAGGCACATTGATTGATTGGTTGATTGTTTGATTTTTCTTATCAAGATACGTCTAAATTAGTGCTTTTTGTGGAAGCACTGTAGTTTCTGTTGAAGTGATTGGGATATGTGCCTTTTTGTCTAGTCCATTTAAAGCAGTTTCTTGGGAACATGAATGAAAGAAGGTGGGGGTGGGCAGAAATAGGTAGCTGGCCCCACATGAGTGCAGATCGAACCTAAATTCCTGTGCCCTCCCCCCTCCTAGTGCTCTAATTGAAGATGCCACCATCCTTGACCCCATGCAGCCCTCTTGATTATTCATGTAGAACATTTCTCTTTGTTTCTTTTAAATGAAGCTGATCAACATGCTCTTTAGAAAAATGCTGCTTTTACCTGTTTGTTTAAATGCAACTGTTGTTTTGTGTGTAACGTGTAGTTTTTTAAAACAAAAAAGATTACTCAGTTTTTAAAAATGCATATTGTAGGATTGAATCTCCGTATCTTGTTTTTTAACAATTTGTAGAGCTGGATAACAGCAATTTTTAGTTCCTACTCTTTGTCTAAAAAGAAAAATGTATGTTTGAACACAGGTCATAATCTGACATACTGTATATGCAACAAGCCCATTTCATTTAACAGCAGCAAATGATTGTATTAAGAGTATTGTAGTGTTTGTTTTGAATTTCTAAAAATTGCTTCTTGTTCAGATTTAATACTTAGGAGTTTTGATTTCTTTTTAAAAAAAGAAAAACTTTAAATGTTTATTTTAAGCCTGCATTTAGAAATCACTGTTTTTTACACAAACGTTCAATTTTAGAATATGAAAATCTGCTTTTTTTGTTTTTTATTCACAAAAAACATTACTTGTAATTCACTGAAATTATACTTCTAATATAGCTTTGAGCAAGTCTATTAGTTTTATGTTTTCATATCACACATCAACATAACTTCTGGATGGATTATTTAATTTATACCTGGACTGTTTTGTATAATGTTAATGTATTTTATGTTCTAAATAGTACAGATAATTATTTTGTTTTATTTATAATAGTAAATACATATATTATTTGTTATTATTTTGTTGTGTAAATATTTTAACAGTGGTGAATTTTAATGATGTATAGTGTCCATCCTGCCATGAGCAAAATAATTCTCTTCTGGTTTTGTTTTGTGTAACCCATAATCTTGGTAGTATTTTCAAAGCTGTAAGCTTAAATTTCTATACCTATTAAAATAAAAAATAAGAAAACTTTTTAAAAAATATATGAACAAGATTAATTGGATTAGCTTTACTAAAGTGAATACTATATTTTCATGTTACTAAAGTACCCTTGTGAATCCAATGGAAAAAAGTGTTTTCATGTCTTACTGTAGATAATATACTCATCTTATGTAGAATGTTTTTTTTTAATCATTTGGCATGCAGTTCATAAACTGTTACTTTATTAAATTACTAGAATAATAATTATCATAATCTATATTAGCATTTTTGTTGTTGTAATTACAAATATCTAAATAATACTAATTTAAGCAAACTTTTAGTTTTTGCAATTATAATAACAAAAGGCTCTCTGGGTATAGATGGAATGCTTTTTCTTGGCCAGATAATGCCAAGTCTCAGTACGTTTTGCTCTCTATATTTAGATACTAATGTCATTTTATGCCGTTACATGTTATACTACCTTGAAAACAGGAAGTTACCTAGAAACATAAGAGGCCCTGCTAGAAAGAAAGGGTTGTTTTCTTTGTAACAAATAACTTTGTACTTGTGAAGTTAATTTGCATACTGAAAGTGAATACAGGAAAGTGAAGCAAGAAAGTGACTCCTTTACTTAGAAAAATGTATAACTTAAAAGGTATTTTTGTTTCAACATACACACTTTAAACCTATGTAAGTTATGTAATGTGCTCATGGGCAATTCAAATTATGGTCACACAGTCTAAAATTCTATATAAAAAAAGAAAATCTTCATTCACCACTAGCTTCTGAAAAGAAAATGGAGGCAATTGATGTATCCTTGGAATTTACCTTTGTCAGTTTATTACCCCTTGTAGGGAGGTGTTCATTTGCTTTTTAGTTGAAAGAATCCTACAAGCAGCATTCAGAACCTGAACTAAATGATACAATGGCGCCTGGCTGGTTCTTTTAAACTGAGACCCTGAAAAATCGTAGTTGAGGAGTGTGTGCTAATGAATTTACTATGACTCCTTGGAAGGAGATAAAAAACAGTGACTGCATGCCTGTAAATGCGTTTTACAACAAATGGGGTTTGGGTTTGGAAACTGCACCCAAAGACTGTCTCAAGTGATTCAATATAAATAGTAATCACCAAGTCCACAAAAACTGGTAGCTATCCAAAACTAAGGGATTGAGAGAGAAAGATGATACCATAAATAAGTCTGATTGAAAGTTTGTGTTCACTGTTATTTTTTAACCAGCACTTGCCTAACTGCAGAGTTCAATCCCAATTAAAATCACACCAAAACCCACGAAACAAGTGAAAGAGATACCCGTCTGAAACTGGTATAGTTGGGAGAGTTATAGCTTGAAACCCATTGTTCAGACAAGAAAACCAGAAGGAAAATAGCAAATATAGACAGCATCTAAGTCATAAAACAAATGTAAATAACAACAGTTGATCTTTTGCTTTTCTTTGAGGAAAGAGCATGTTACAAAAATAACCAGGTGAGAGACACGAGAATATTGTGTAAAAACAAAGGAATATAACATGAAAGGATTATTATGCAACTAGGAGATGCAGTAAAAGTTATAAGGTATGTTTGTAAAATTATAATTGAATTCCACACTTCTGTGTCACACAGTGCCCTTTTGTGTATTTTTTCAAAAAGAATGTAACACACAGCTTGTCTGGGACAGGCTAAACCTAAGGATATTTTCAATACAATTTCAGTACAATCCTTTCTACATTCTTTAAAGATTGCAATAATTATAGTGATAATGATTGTTTTCCCAATGCATGCAGTAGACCAGTGTATATTCTTGTGTTATTAGATATTTTGCCTAATTTTTCACCTTTGCTTTAGTTGAGGGTACAATTGATGTAATTGTAAAAAGCTATGCAAACCATGTATTTTAGAATGCCTTCCACTTACACTCAAGGTTAGCACAATTTATATAAATGTGATGAACACTTCCTTTTTAATATAATGGTTAGTGGAGAACCAAGGGTTAAAACAAGCAAGCCTTAAGCACAAATGGTGCAGTGGGCTGTTGTTTTTCTGTTCAGAGGTGGTTGACCATTTCCATTTTTGTGTAAATCCCCTGAGAACAAATGCATTTCAGAATAGTGGTATGATCTGTGCCGCTGGTGAGTGATTGACAAGGAAAGAATAAATAGTCAAAAGAAGAGAATTAATGCCACACCCCTCCCCCCTGTGAGTACACACACACAACCCGACACAAACACACACAACTTAAAGCCATCCTTTTGTAACAGGAAGGCCCTGTGCTGGTTTTGCGACCTCAGTGTTTTGTTTCTCCCTTATGTTTTGTTCTGGGTGTAGAAATGACCGCCAATTAAAAAAAACACATATGTGGACAGTGATGGGGGACCTATGCACTGAAAGATGATGTGGCAGCCGGGTGTTGGTCAATTGGTCAGGGGAAATGGGTCACTAAATCACATAACACTGTGCATACCATAGTGACTGATTAAATTGAACTGGCCTTTGTTATAGTCTAAAAAATTGTTTAAGCCTTTTAAAGTAATTAAACCTAAAGAGATCTATTAGCTATGCTTGAGAATTGAGCACTTGTTATGTTTTCCTTAATCAAATTCTGTCACATTTAAATAATCCAGTGTTTCTTTCTGAAAGAAAATGTGTTACATTGATAAAGGTATAAAGTTTCTCTTATAATGTAGGTCTTTATGCACTTATCCAGACATTATTAAATTGTATTTTAAAGCTGTGCTGTTGATTTATTTTAAAACAAATAACCTTAAACTACCAAAACTCAAAAGGATACAGAACAGATTTCATCACCTGCACTGCTTTGAAAAAAAGCAAGAATGGGTTAGGGAAAGGGGAGGAGGATTTCTTTGTTATTGATGTTATACATATCTGCTTGTATAATACCAATAAAATATTATTTTAAATCTGAACTCATCATGAAACTCACTCATGATTTTTTCATTTGGTTATATTATGAGTGTAATTATATCTTTTAGATTTGTTTAGGAACAATTCTTTTTTTTCTTCTGAATTGTTAAGAGTATAGCATATTGTAATATATTTCATTGATCTATTATTTGATCTATAATTAGTAGTGGTAAAAAGGGAAAACGCCTTAAGTAAATCGGGCATATTATGCTGGGAACATTCTGGACAGATGAAGCATTTCATTTGATCATCATATTGGTATTTTGTTGGTTGTGAGGATGTTGGTGTCTCTGTGTTACATGAATAAAAAGAAATCAATAAAAGACCTCAGTCACAATTTAGATGATTAAGAGCTGCCTATTATCTTGCACAAAATATATTTGCCGGTAAAATAGTCAAATCTTTCAGTAGCAAATGCGTCTGTATAAATGTGAAACTAACAGTCGGGGAATGTGTTGTTCTGCCATCTAGTGTGCTTCTGTTGAAATTACATTTGTATCTACCTTACAATAAAATCTTACTTTATGGCCCAAAACACAAATATGACGTGCATTTTAAAACCAATGTTGCGCATATTAATAATTATAAAGTAGTTTTACATATATATATAGCTTTTTCTTCACATTCTTGGCTTAAATTATATCCTTATGAAGATGTGATTACAAATTTTAATATAAACACTCCTCAAACAATAATTGCTGTCTGTTTCTGCTTCTTCTCTTGGTAGATGCTATAACTGTGGTGGCCTTGATCACCATGCTAAGGAATGTAACTTACCACCCCAGCCAAAGAAGTGCCATTACTGTCAGAGCATCCTGCACATGGTGGCCAACTGCCCTCACAAGACTCTTACACAGCAACCCACAAGTGCTCAGGGAAGATACGAAACCGAACTACAGCCTTCTACCTCTGCTTTCCTGAGAGAGGGACCATACTCACTACCACCTTATTCTCTGGAGGGAAGAGTGGAGGCACAGGAGCGACCAGTCCGCTCCCCACAGGAAGCATCCTCCAGCAAGTCTTCTGTATCCCCAGAAGATTCCAGTCGGAAAGGACCTTCTGTCCAGAAAAGGAAAAAGACCTAAACGAAGTCTTAGCTGAAAGTTCAAAAAGTTTCCTTTGGAGTCTGTATACAGCATCTACCTCATACTCGCAAAAAGTACAGGGGAAGTCATTTCAGTCAATGCAGCTCTAGCTTTAAAACAAAGAAACAAACACAAAACTACTGTCTTAAAATCTGTGAATCTGTATTTAACTTGTCCTCCTCTACCAAACATGAAGCACACATTTAAGGTGGTTTTTCAAATTTTACTCACTTTGATATAATTTAACCGAACTCAGCATTCCAGACAAATTTCTTGGAACTGTTATTTAATCAGTTTACTTGTGGACAAACCACTTTTCTATTTTATTTCTGAACAGCTTTGTCATACAATTTTCCAGGCCTTCTTCTCTTTATGGGGTGACCAGGACAATTGCCAAACATAAACCAAAGGATACTTTGATTGGTATATCTGCCCCAGCAAAGAGAAACACCAAGGAATACCTTAAAATGCATTTGTGTGGAAAACCCTTTTAAGGATGCAAATATCATGGCAGCGTTTGACCCAATCAAGGCAATATATTATATTTGAGATGCTGACAACTGCCATCAGCTTTTATTTCTTATTATGAATGTTTCTATTGTGTGCCTGTGTTGCGAGTGCTCTTATACTGGATGGTGATTAATTCTGTGATCTTTTAGTATCTGTTAAAACGTGTTGCTTGAAAGTTGTTTTTTGTGTGTTTCTACTGCCGTGTAGAACCTGTTTCTGTTGTAAATACAAAGGCAACATGTTAAGATTATTGTATGCTTGGTGGTTTTACTTGAGGCCTGCTTTTAATTTCTTGTGGATTATGTTAATTTGTCTTGAGTTTATTAGTGTGCATTAAACCTTAAAGGTATGCATGCAACCATAGATGTTTAAAGAAAAAGAAAAACTAAGGACGAACTTTAGCAAAAGAACTCCTGATAGATCATTCGTAGCAAATTAAACAGTGAATAAATCCCATTATTTAATTTGCTTTGTGAAATCTAAAACTTAAATGGTAGATATTTGAATATCTTCATCTTAGTTGTAAAGAATTAATTTAAGTTCTGAAAATGTATATAAATATATCTATATAAAATTACTATTAATTTTAAACCTATCGATTGTGATTATTTTGTTTTTGTTACTACAGCAAATTGAGAATGAATGCACAAACTTTAAAGTGCATGAATTCACTTTTGAATTCAAGTAAGCGTGGCCTCAAGTTGGTAAAGTCCAGCACCAAACAATTAATTTACTTTTGTTTTACAGTAAGAGATTTACTGCTGCTTTTGTTTTTAACAGTTCTGAATGTTGCCAGAGGAAAACTAATGGCACTGATTACATATGACTACACTTGAATTTTTCAAAAGTGTTCAGAAGAACTATCCAATGATATCATGCTGTACAATGCGAAACATACTCTGCTTTGACGATATTGAATGTGAAATTTACCTCTTAAAAGTGAGTCCTCACATTATCTGAGGAATACCACTTTATTTAATGTGTTTTGACAAATCAATGACATTTCCTTATAATAATCAAGAAGACAACCAAGTATTTTCAGGAAAGGCGCATGTCATTTTGAAATTCTATACCAAAGTTTCTTGACTTTATTGAAGGAATAAATGAACGAACAATGCCTAAATGGTATTCCCTGTTACTCCAAAAAAATACAAAAAGCTCAGCACTAAGAGTTTTACACAGGTCTAGAATCAATTTTAGAGTGCATTTTTCTTAAATCTGCAGGCACTCTAAATGATTTCAAAAAGGCAACAGCACAAACCAAACTATAGCTCTTTGACTGTTTCACATTTTCCATGACATTTACACACTCATAGAACATCTCAGGATGAAGAACTCTACTCAGGGAATTTACCAAGAAAGTGTACTTTTCTTTACAAAACAGTCTGCAAACGTCTTAAATGTATTCTGATCAATTAGATGTAGTGTTTGATATCTATATATGTTTTATGTACTGATATTAGTAACTACCTCTGAGTTATACATAGTCTTACATTTCTAATAATCAGATGATTTTTTTGTATTTTATTTCATATAAAGATAACTAGAATTGTACTGAATACTTGTGTAAGTATCAGGGCTCTATTGATTTTTACACAAGTTATGAATTTTATACTGTTTTGAAGATGGTAATATGACAGTAATCTCAGTTTTCTGTTTACAGCAAAAAGCCTACCTCATTCTTTTCAGTTAGTAATTTTTGATGCTCTAACTTAATAGACGGCTAAGGATTCTTTGGTCAAATCTGACATTTTTTTTAAATTATGCACTGTTTTAAACTGTAACACCATGAACAAAACAAAGCATGTAACACCGAACAAGTGTTTGGTCCTTTATGTCATTTAAAGGGTTTGTGGTATTAAGGAGAATCAAAAAAAATATGAGCTAGTGTTTTTGACCCCCAGCTGAAAGGTGCATATTCTAAGTTTGCAACATCTTTAACTAAGAAGAGAAAAAATAGTAATATATTTAAGCATAGGATGTCTTTATCGATTTACAGAATATTGACTAGGCTTTTAATTCTGCAAAAAAATGGTTTGTTTTCTTTCTGGGATTGCAGTGCTACTTCAAGTGGTGAATTCGAGATTGGGACAATGCAAAATAAACATCTCTTATGGACACATAGAAGCTAAGAAATTCTTCCACAAACATGAAATAAATATATAACGTGGTAGAGTAAGTCTAATAAAAATTCCTTCAACATTTTTCTTCGAGTTCCATAAGACAGTCAGGAAAAACTCCAAACTATTTGTATTTTTTTTAGTACTAACTTATTCTTCAAAACGTTGATGAAATGGAAAAAAAAACACTTTTTACATAAAGGACTGTACTAAACCAAAGATCAAACATTAGTCCAACACTGCCACCGTCTGCTGAACAAGGAATATGCCACTGTTTATATTTGGTGATGATTATTACATTTTGCTTGCTCGTCTTTTAGTGTGTATGTGGATCAAAGTTATAGGTTTTTAACTCGGGTAGGAAGGAGTTTTGAATCATCTGCATGCAAAGGTCAGTTTCAAATTTCCAATCTGAAAAGATGTTCATAAGACATAAGTTTAGGCATGTGAAGATATTTGTTCAGTAATTGTGCATACATGTGACATTATTAGTAAAATAATTTGTATTAAAATATTTAAATGGCATATGTAGTGATCCAACTTTAAGGTGTATACACATGCGTTTCTTCATTTTCAGTGAAACCTTTAAAATCATTGGTTTTGCAGTATTTCATTTATGTGAAACATTTCTTTGACAATATACTTAAGTCATCGAGCATACAATGATTACAGCGTAAGATGTACAGTTCTCTAAATTTTCTAAAATCAACATTACTACTGATTTTTCTCCCCTCTGACCCATCTAGCTTAAAAATAAAGGGATACAGTATTTATCAATCCATCATTCCACAAGTAAATGACCACAAGATTGCTAGGGCTACCTCATGATTTAACAAATACAGGTTTTACAAATAGTGATAGTTTTATAAGTACTAGTTCAATATGCTGCTTGTATTACTGGAGACCAAAGCAAGGTCTGTATCCCCTTGTTTACTGTGAGTTTTTCAGAATTAACTGTCAAGTTTGTGTTTTAACATACCTCAGTTATAAAGATTGGCATTAAACTTTTTATTTCAGAATTTCAAAAGCTGTAATTGGATTGTACAAAATAAATTATGAGATTATGGTCAGTTCATTCTGTTTCTTTTTAATGTTGGAGTAAAGCACTGACTGCTTTTTTGCATATCACATTTTATAACCATTTTAAATGTACCGACTTTTTGTTTCTGTGAATCTCGGATTTTCTGAGGTCTTAAAAGTTTTACTTGGTTGAAATAAAACCTATTATATTGCCATTTTACCCAGATTTCTGTTCATTTATTGTATGATGAAGTTGAATTCAATACTTACATTTACTTGGATCTCCTGTGTGGAATGAGAGTCCCATAAACAATAGATTGCAAATGAGGGAATCCTATAAACAGTACATTTCTAGTTCATATTTTGTTTGCAGTTGATTTATATTCCTTATGGGGTCCATATGCTGATATTGTTTTTCAAAGATATTTTACTTAAAGCACAAGAATGTTTCTTGCTACCTGGTGTGTGTCATTTTCACCTTAATGCCGCTGGATGCTTCTTTGGATTGCAGACTTAGTACACATGTATATCACTTGTTTAATCATATATGAAACAGAAGAAAGGTTACAGAAGAGAACCATGCAGCATAAATCATTCTATTAATAGTGGCTTGGAGTCATGCATGAAAAGCCTGCATGACTTGAATTTGAGTTGCCTCTTTTTATGGCATGTATACATATGATTAAGTATTTGATTCATTAAAGATGTTAACTAAACTAGGATGAAGGAGGCACAGCTGTGAGGTTTTCCTTAAACTAAAGTGAGAAAGAATCTGTATTAAGTATAAAAGCAGTTAGGATTTTTGTAGAAAGAATTTACAAAAGGAATTAGGGATTCATTTTGAAGATGTAAAGGGTTTAATAGGTTTTCTACTGGGAAAGCAATGGGATATACAGTACGTTTTAAGATGGTAAACAGAATTTTCAGGAAAAATTAAATGGTGTGATGGGTAAGTTTGCACTAACACATCTTTCAAAAATGCTATTTAAATGGTCATGGTTAAGATGCACAATGAATTTGTTAGGAAGATACAGGAAGGTCTAAGTGGTTGAAAAGATGATTGTGTGGTTTTGAACGAACTAGTATGGGTTATTGATGAAGATGGTATATGAACTGGATCATTGACAGTGGTGGTTAAATTGCATGTGTATCAAAAAGGTTATGGACTTCTGCAGGTGGAGAAATGGGCCGTCTGGTTGTGGCTTATACTAAAGTGCTTTGAAAATGTCTGGTGCTGGATCATGAGATTGAGAACTGCCCAAATAATAGAGCATCACCTGAAGAGACCACACATTTAGAAATTGTCTAAAATCATCTGCAAAAAAAGTTAAGTGGAGCGAAGTGCAAAATGTTATGGGAAAAGTAGAGAAAAGAAAACAGATAGATGTGGATAAAGAGATTTAAAAAAATCAGGAAGTAAGACTGGAGGAAGAAGAGGTTAAAGGTGTGGTAGATGAATGTGTGGAAGAGGAGAGCAGTGAAGAGGATGTGAGGCAGAGTAGGATGGACGTGTTTATGTTGGAGAGGACTATTGCCTTTGGGTAAGAGGTCAGAAAGAGAGAAAGGAAGAGAAAATGTTTCGATTGATCATTTACTGGAGTCAGAAGATTATAACCTAGTGACTTTGGTAGAGCCAACTTCTTCATTAGAGGAGGAAGTAATGGGTGTTGATAAAAGAGCCTGCTGGGAAAGTGTGGGGGGGAATGGAACGTAAAAGAAGCATTCTGTGAGATGGAGATTTAGTGGAGGAGGAGGGAGTATCACCTCATACTGTTAGATGCCCAGAGTTGGGAATTAGCTCATCACCGGAAAACCTAGAGGAGGAAGAGAGTGAAGGGGAGGAAAAGTGCTTTAGAAGAAGATGGAGGAGAGTGGACACTGCTGAAGTGAATCTGAAGATCTTTTTTAAATGTAGAAAATGGCTGCTTTTATGTTTATTTATGGCTCTCACTAATGCAGTGCTAAATGTGAGAGGGGGTCTGTCATTGCAGATTAATGTTGACTTGTTTGGAGGGAATAGATGTAGATGTGCTGTCTTTACAAGTATGTGACCATCCTTACAAAACCCATTAGGAAAGGGTTAGGAAAGGTTGTGGGTGAAGGTACCCTCCTTTTGGAGTGGTTCCAATGAAAATAGAGAAGATGGGGTTGCTGTATAAGTTAAAAGTAAAGGAGTGATGATAAAACAGCGTATAGTGCTAAAAAGTGGAAGATCCTTACAACTTAATGGGGCCTATTTTGGTGAGGATTTGAATTTTATTAATGTTTATGGACTTTCAGGGGTGATGGAGAGGGTTTTGTAAAGTGTTTGAAATAGTTGAGCCATACTAGGTAGGGGAAGGACAGTTTGTGGGAGTTTTAGTTTTCTCCTGAATCCTTTGTATTGGAGAGAAAACAGATGGGCTATGTCTATGATGCTTTTAAAAAGTATTTTAAAAGATTTTAGTTTACAGGATTCCTTAAGTATGGTGTGACCAATGGAGAAAAGATTTACCCGGGTAAAAGATAATGAGAAACAAGCTACAAGCTACAAAGCATAGATTTGATTTTTGGTAGATTCTTGGAATGTGCAAGAGTAGTTTGATTCCTGTTACATTCCTTATTTAAGATTGGGAGTGGATACTGGAATAAATACTGAGCTTTTAGAAGATGAATTAGTGAGTAATCTTAGAGAAAAATACAAGGACTGGCAGATGATGAAGGATTTGATTTACAGAAGTTTAATAAGTGGGTAAAAAGAAGGCAAAGGAGCAATGAAGGATAAAAGAGTTAGAAAAGAGGTTGCATTTAAACTATATGCTGCACCACTTGGGAGAAGAAATAGAAGATGTGAAAAAAGCACTAAGGAAAGTGTATGAAGACAGAGGGAAATGAAAGTTTTTAAGTAGGGAAAAGTTAGAACAGGGAGAAGAGTGCTCCCATTTCTTTTTTAAGAAAGGGATAAGGGTCTTCATAGACAAGAAGGTTTCGAAGTGAATATAACAAAATAAATGCTTTAGACAATGGAAGGCATTTATAAAGATTTATATGGAGTTAAGAATTTAGTTAAGACACTTTAGTGGAAAACGTGTTGAGGGAGTTGATAACGAGGGTAAAAGTGGATGAGAGTCTTTAAAGAAATTTTTCATTGGAAAAGCTAGAAAAAGCATGAGGTCCTTTAAGCTGGAAAAAGCTCCTGCAGTGCCATTGGATATTTGTAGGAAATTCTGGTGGATTTCCTGGGGCCAGAACTGGTGAGTCTTTTTAAGGACAGTGAAAAGAAAAGTGTTTTGCTCTAGAACATTAAAGTTGGGGATAGGGTTATGGATGATAAAAGAGGAGGAGGGAATAAATTGTAAGTTTTATCTTTAACACATTATACAATTATAAAATTAATTATAATTACAATTATACACTGTGAATAAAAGAAAACTTTTTTTCTTTACAGTAAGGCAGCTTTGCTGGCTTTCAGCAATCATCATGAGAATACAGCTCATGGCCTACAAATGTATTCAGTTCCAGCAAGCCACTTGTGTGCATTTCCCAGTTTATACAATTTGTAACAGACTTTACCTGGTAGGTTTCTGGGCTAAGTGACCTGCTTCCAAAAGTTTGGATTTAGCCTGCAAAGATGAAACACGCTTCGTGGTAGCTTCCAATAAAATCGGTTTTGATTGAGGGATACTGCAGAATGCCAGGTATGACCAATTAGGAGTCTCTCCAAGATAAAGGGGGACACATAAGTTAACAATTATGCTTCACTCCATCTACTGCTACACTACAATCACTTTAATACGGGTCTGGCTTTTCTAAGGGGGGCCATTGTAAATATGAAGGGATTGCACAGTGGTTAACATTGCTGCCTCACGAGGTGGGTCCCCGTGTTCAATTCTGAACCTGAGGTGTGTGGACTTTGTATGTCACACTGTGTTTGCATGGGGTTCCTGCCACAGTCAAATTTGGCTTCTGTGAAAATTGGCCCTGGTTTGAGTACATATAATGCTCACAGGATGTAAAGCAGCTTGCGCCCATCGCTTGCTGGGACAGGCTCTGGCTGCCCCACAACACTGTATTGGATAAAGTGGTTAGAAACTGGATGAATGGATGCTTTACAAACAATGTTGGAAATCAGGCTGCTATAAATTGCTTAGCACATGTGTTATTTAAAGTGAAATTATGTATTCAGAATAACCTGATTACTTTTCTGATTCAAACTAAGCAAGTTATAGCCAGCTCAACTAAGACTTGTTAGCTGCACACAGAATGTAAGTTTTCTACTGTACCTCTCAATCTCCAGACCACATCCCAATAAAAAAAAAATGTTTTGAAATCATTAAAGTAGTTTACAAATGGAAACCAATACTTCTGAAAGCCCTAGAGCAATTCTGCCAAGAAAAATGGTCAAAACGCCCACTTCTGAAGAATGTTATAGTACACTACAGGTTCTTTTCAATGTAATCCATGCCAGAGGAAGATTTACAAAGTACTAACTACAGGGGTGTAAATAAATGTGAAATTTATAATCTTATAATCATATTACAATAAAACTTGATCTCTGAAGATAGAAAAATCCAGGCCCAGGTAGTACTGGGGTAAAATCACATTGCTGTTAGAAGTGGTACTGATGAACCAATAGGTGGCACACTTTCCTATGGACCAAAAGTTTCAGATCAGGGCCTGCATTAGTCCAGTTTCAGAAGAGCTGTGAGATACAGTATGTTCTTATTGTGGCTGCTAAAGATCTCAGAGCTCTGTTTTACAGATTAGAGTGTCCTGCATGAATTCCAATTCAGGATTAATCTAGTTTTTCTAAATTTTCCCTATTTTAAAACTCCTCTAATCCCTCATAACAGTGAGATGATGGCACAAAATGGCTTCTGTGGCTGGTGGTGGATTAAACAAATTGTTTGAAAAGATTAAGAAATAGATACTATGTAAATGCAAGCTATGCTAACATGTTTGATATTTACAACAATGAAATGCCCTTTTATTTGTCTTGAGGTCCTGACAATATGTGGAGAGATACCGAGGAATCATAAAAAAAACTGAACTAGGATCCCCAAAAAAACACAAGTAGTCCTTAGGACTAGTCACCGAATTCAAAGACTTTATCTAATTGTGTTATTTGTGGTTTTTAAAATAGATAATTATCATGTAATTGTAAGAAGCCACAATAAAATGAAAGTTTGTAAAATGTTATATCATTTTCAGTACAATATATCAATGGGTGTAAAAAACGAATCCATTCAATTTGACTTGTTTTATTAAAAACAGTGTTTTACAGTGCACATTTTCATCAATATAACAGTTTAACTTTTCATTTGTGTTTCTAGTGAAAAAAATGGTATACAAGTAACATAAAGTGTAAAACCATAAAACCATCACTTTTTCTCAATCTTTTTGTTTTTGGTCTATTTGGCTGCAATTTACATCAAACCTTGACCATATAATGAATGGTAATTTTGTGGAATTTTCCATCTACAATGCCTTATGTCCTCATCCTTTTATTTGATGGTAGCAGTAACAAAAATTAACATAGAACATTAAAATGAAAGAAGTCTAATTCTACAATATTATGGCATATTTTCATTTTAGGATTTTAATTAATACCACTGTCACACATAAATACAGTACACACAGCAAAGAGTAAAACAAAATAAGGGTATTTTAAAGTTAATTGCTAGGTTTTGATCCTAGCATCCATTACTGCAATTTTAATATTATAAATCAAACTAGGAATAATCTTTAAAGTGTTACCATATTATGTAATATTAATGTATTTAACTTTCAGAGAAAAAATATATTCAATGGAAGTATGATTTACAAAGAGTTTATTCTTTTTCAATTCACATTTAAATTTGAACCTTGAAAAAGTATTCAGACCCTTGCAGCTTGTGGACATGACACTTTGAAGAAGAAATCAGTATTTGTTATATACTGTACACAACCAGAGTTTGTGTGTTATACTCTCATTCATATAGGTTTCATCCCACAGTCCAAAGACATACTGGGAGGTTAATTGGCTTCAGGGAAAATTGGCCTTGGTGTGAATGTGTGTCTGTGTTTGTTTCTGTGTCTGCCCTGTGCACCCTTTGCTTGATGGGATAAGCTCTGGCCCCTCCATGACCATGTACTGGATAAAATGGTTAGAAATTTGATGGATGTATATATACACAACATAGTCCACACATTCAAAGCAAACAAATGTAAAATTAAGTAAACACTGTAGACAATATAAAAGAAAAATGCTAATTGCATAAGTGCTGTATGTAAACCATTTCCTCTGGCAAACCTAAATTAATTATGTTGTACAAAATTACTATCTATGTAAAGTGGTGAATTTCAAACAAAGATTTAACCATGAAGACAGAGAATCTGTCAAAACAGCTCAGGGATAATGAGACTCTTAATGCCTCTATGAGCTTGGCGATTTAGAACATTTTAAAGTGGAAGGCACCCAGACACTGCCTAGATCAGGCTGTCACTCCAAATGAAGCAGTTGGGAAGAGGACACTGGTTAGGATTGCCACTTTGAGGCCAACAGCAACTTTGAAAGAGTTACAGAGTTCATAGGCAGAGATGAGAGAAAATGTCCAAGGGTCAGAAATACCCCAAACCCTCCGCAACAGGGTTTGTATAGTCGTGTAAAAATAACATGTCAAATCCTGCGCAGAATTACAACAAAACACCTAACTGATGCTGCAAGTATTTGGCAAAATGTCCTGTGTACAGAAAAGATAACACTGAAAACTTCTAAATGCAAAGTTAAATCTGACATACCCTAGACAGGGCATCATTGAGTGAGAACCATCCCTATTGTCAAGCAGGATTATACTGATGTTCTGGTTTATCGAGAATGATGGGAACATAGATTGAGCAAAATACTAGCAAATCTTAGAGGAGAACCTGCTTCAGACCTAAAACTGGGACAAAACTTCAGTGGGATAATGAAGCACAAAGCCAAGCTACTGTACACTGGAGTGGCTTGCTAATAGGAAAGTGAACGTCCCTGAGTGGCCCAGTCAAAGTCCTGACTTAAATCCTATTGAGAATCTTTGGAAAGAAACTCCTGTCTATAATCGATCCCCAAGCAACTTGAGAGAGCCTGAGCAAATCTAGCAAAAAGCCAGTGTCCAATGTTGGTAGCCATATAGCGAAAACACATGTGCCTATAACTGCTGCCAAAGTTGCATCCATCAAATATTGAGTTTATGGGTCTGAATACTAAGGTTTCACTTTCTTTTCTTTAGTTTGCAAATTTTCTTATACATAGAAGTCTTCAGTTTGAGTTTTTGAATACAATATGTGTGTTTTGCGTCATTTTAAATTTTATAAAACAGGACTTGAGACAAGTCAGTATACTTTTGCAAGGGACTATGTAATCAATAAGGCACCTTTTACCCAGTTCTAATTTTGTTTATTCTCCACCATTGGCTTTTGCCTATTCCAAAAAAATAGGTCAAGAACAAAAAAACTAATTTCGTCTATTAAAATGTCACCATCCTGCGGGACAGATGATGACATCCTCAGACCTAATTAAATTAATCTTCTTTTCTATCTTCTTAATTCTTATTGAGTGCAAAAATTCAGACTGATAAATGTACTTTCCTGTTAACAAAGTTGTTGTCTTATTAGTCCATTACAATGCTTCATAAATAGCAAAATATTTGTAATGCTGTTTTTCCATTTCTTCTACATAAGAAGTATTCAAATGTAGCCACCTAATCATTACTACATACAGTACATTCCCTTATACATAATTAATGGGTTCCATGCCAACTGGAGAATTGTGTGGTCCTGTATCTCTGAAAAACACCTTGTGCGCTAAGGGGTCCAAAATTGTTATTACAAAAGCAATAATTTAAACTAAGCCAGTTGTATGCAGACTGTAAACCTTACGTAGAAAAAAAAATGATTTCTGTATTTTTAGTAAGTTCTTTTAAGTTGTTTGGCTTTTAGTCTTATTTTTATTTTGTCTTTACAGTGTCTAAATTGCACATTTTACACCTGGTGTTCACTGACAGCATTGTATTTGTCACAATGTTCACTCTCAAACCAGTAAGGTCATATTTATTTATGATGGTTTGAATATTAAAAACTGATTTGAGGACAAAAAATGCAAACAATGTGATCCTTCAGGTTTTCCTAATAACTCCAGTAGAAGCTTTTGCTGCGTTTGAATTTGTTTTCACTTCAGTAACTAAGAAAGGGTGTTAATAGAAATGTGAACTTGAGGTCAAATAATTCACATGTGTTATTTTAGTATACTGTTTGAGTGTACTTTTATGACATAATGAGGCTATTATGGTAATCATATGTATCCCACATTATCTGAGGTGGTTGCTTTAGAAACATTATAAAATCTATACAGCACAAGATGCAAGCTGAGCTAATTTACTATTTTTAGAAGCAGGACTCTTCCCCATTATTTACAGTACGTTTTGCACAGTTGATGTAAATCGCCCACATACTGTACATGTAGGTGCTTGTACATGTAGGTTCATTTGGAAGCCAAATAGGTAAAAATATTATTTGAAAAGATACAAAAAATGGTATTATTAATATCTGAGATACACAGACACACATTTTCACCCAACACAATATATAGTATACTATATTCTCAAAGAGGCCTGAAACTTTACGCCTCCTTTTTTCAGTGAATTTCAGAAAAATTCCAGACTTAGAACAATTATTTGAAGGCTTTAAACAAAAAAGTCAAGAATAGCTTTTGTAGTCTGAGAAAATTGTTGGACAATTTGTAATTCTATGTTATGATCTGTGAAACTAGAATCACACCAGTCTATGGCTGTTGAACTTACTGTAGACTACAGCATTACATGTTTTCTAAGGAGGAAAGTACGGTAATATAATTATACAATCTCCAAAACATCAGTACTGTATGTATGTGTTTGTGTATTTGTAAACATACACATAAACAAGGATTTTGTAAGATCTCATGATATATTTTTGACTTGCTTGTCATATAATTTCTTTTTCATATAACCATTAGAGTAAATGCTGCAGTTTTATTACTGAAAAAATAAAGAACAAATATAAATTAATTCATTCAGTATATATAGTGCAATATGATGGAAATTACATTTTAATTTTCTTCTCTATTAAAAAATAAATGTATTTATCTAGCTCATAGTAAAGAAATTGGTAATTCCCATGAATACCACTGTGATCCAAACTTTGGCACTATTGATTAGGCCTGAGTAATACTGTTCTCCTCTGAGATCAGGGTTTTTTTTATTACAAACTACCTGTCAAAGAGTGCTATGTGATTTTTTAAAATATTTTGTAATACTTTTTATTTAACTTTTATCAATTATTTTCTAAGTGTATTTAAGAATTCCTCATTCAGAGTTTTCCATCTGCTATTCAATCACTCAGCAATTGACTGAATAGCTATAGGGGAACTCTGCCATACATATCTGGATCTAGATCTAGATATAAAAGTGGGTATCTATCATACATACACTAAACTTTAATATTGGGATTATTCAGTTTTACACATTGCTGTATATGTCACTCAAAAATTGCATCCATTTTTTAGATGTGATAACAAAGACCTAGACCTTTATGATAGGAGAAAATGTACAACACAAATCCTTAATAAAAGTTTACAGTGGTGTATCACAATAAAAAAGTGAAGTTTATTAAAGCCAGTTTAAATCCTGCTGAAAGTATGCCAAAACCTAGAACGCAAAAGCTTGATAACCAAAGAAAACAACACCAAAGCAAGATAAATGGGAAGTAAAGGCATAATAAACCTTTGGAAAATAGTTAACTGAAAATAGAACTAAATACCACAGTAAACTTCCATAAGGTTAACATCAGCTGAATTTCTGATTTACACCTACTAAACCTCTTCAGCAGAGGTCTCATTGCCATGTCTTGGGGGTGAGCGTCTGACTGGAGTAGCAGGCTCAAAGACATCATCTTCAATAGCTTCTTCAATTGGATTCATTTTTCCAGGCCTTGTGTGAGGGGACTTGTCTGAAAAAGAGGGATGAAGGCGAATTGACTTTGGTAGTGGAAAAAGGCATTAACCATTTCCTAAATATATTACTGTATGTTGAACCTTCACTGGCTCATTTCATAAGATCCAGGCGTAAAGCAAACAAAACTAGAAACTGTAACAAGACAGGAGATTCCAGTCATTTAACGCTTACTCGCGTAAACTGAAACTGAACTGAGTGTCCATAGATAGAATGTAATTTAATGTGCAAGGAATCATGAGCATAATTTTAATGAAAGCAAGCTTCTATTCTTGTTTCCCATTTTGCGATAGCATATCCGCAGTATATGTTTCCTAAAACAAATAGAGTCTATGGCAAAAGTTTGGGAGGGATAACAGCAGGCAAGTTCAATCAGCCTCAGCTGTCCTGAATTGTAATTGTTCCTGATATAATTTCCTCAAGTAAAAAATCAGTGAACTTTCACAGTAAAAGTAAAGATAAAGTCCATGTCAGATACATCAGCTCATCAGGCCAAAGAGACCCTGGTTTCATGACTACCATCTCCCATCAATGCTAACATAGCAGGGTGGACTGGAGCAACTGAAGTGAAGTACTGTACCTCATCAAGTGTACAATAGCACTGTCTGCAGAGGGGGGATTCCCCCATAGCCTCTCAGCTATGAGTCCAAAATGTACCCACTACTGCCTCCACATGCCTCCACAAAGCAGGACATGCTAAATATGCCCTAGTGGCAAAATAAGTCCACTGATCCATACCAAGAGTGGCAGGAATATTCAAACATTTCTATTTATACAATGCTCATGTTAGTTGATAGGTGCATCAGGCATCACAAAAGATCAGATAAAATACATAAAAACAGTGAGATAAATAGTATGTGAGGTCCATAAGAACTACTCACATGGTGAAAGGACTACATTCAGTAGGTCCGGCAAAATAAGGAACACTTTTCTTCAGGGAATACAAAAATAATATCTGAACAAACATGACATGAATGATTTAAAGTTGAGGCATAAGCATGTTTTTAAAGAAAATCATAAAACTAAAAATATACAGTACACCAGAAATATGCACAAACCTAGCATGTTCTTTGATACCATTAACTTAATTGCTTTCAGAAACAGCTTACTGACAATCATGGTATCAGTTTTATTATGCTGTAGGCCTGACATATCTCTTCGAAGGCTAAAAATGTTTCTTTCATTTAAGGATACATAGAAGGGGAAAGGCTGAATTATAGTATAACTTGAGAGTTTACAGCAAACATAATAATTCTGTTGTAATAGAATAATCTGTTCTAAGAGCCAAAATTCAAAATGACAATGGTTTAGAGCATACAGAGTTACATAAAATGTCCAATCAAGGAAAGCATTTGACATCTGACTTGAATCATTTAACCTGAATCCAACTGAAATGTGATATGAAACTCAAAGTAGCAGCCTTGGCTAATGGTAAACCCAATAATTTAAGTGTTGTTTGCACTACTATATGCATTTACAAATGGAACAAAATTCAAAGAAGAGAAGCCAGCATTCCAGATAGGTAAAAAATATAATTTCATGTTATGGAAAAATATTATTAAATGATTCTAATTGTAACAGCAGTTAATACAGAAGATGGTAAGGAAATACTGAGAACAAGCTTAGAGAGTGAATATTTTTCATGCACTATATTGCTGTATATTTTAGATAAAATCATAATTATTTTTAGATGAAATTATTTTCTTAATATTTAAGAATAAACTCTTATTTTGACCTTTACTGATAGTAAGTACATTTTTTAGTTTTATTTCTGTAGAACCAAGTCTTACATCAGCTTCAAAACCTTCCTGCTTTAATGGATTTTTAAAATACCGTCTCACCCGTTTCTTTCATGTGTTAATGTGTGACTTGAATGTGTTTTTGTTAAAACAAAAAATTTAAACCAGCTCAAGGAAGGTCACAAACAAGACTGGAATGACTAACAGAATAGAAACACTGCCCCCATTTTAGTACATTATGTGCTGTAATCTTAATTCTGTTTAAAAAACAACATACAAAGCAGAATGTGCATGAATATGCTTTTCCCTGTACTTACGAAGCGAAGATGCTGTTGAGCCGCGAAGGAACTGGTTTAACACATCATCAGTTTCACTTGTGCTGGCCATGCTGTTCCTCATCTGCATCATGGACAGCTGGGAGCACAGGCTTGGTTGGCGGTCAATTTTTTTAGCTGTCTGCAAAGGAACCAAAATCAAAGCATGAACTGCCATTGGGCTACCTTTACCAAAAATACATCCTTTCGTTGTGTCAGTCTATGGTTATATAAAGCCATACCTTATCATTCAGCGTGGGATCATTCAGTGAGTACAGCTTATTTGTAATATCTTTCCCAATGAGATATCGAAACACTTCATTTAAGAAAGGTTCAGATTCCAGGAAATATGTCAAGCGTTCTCTTGACCAGCACAAGAACTTGCAATTTTCCTCAGCAGTAATAGTTACCTGTGAAGATATGAATAACCACGTCTCACAGAAATGTCTAGGAAATTTGTGTCTTCTCTTACTAAAAATCAGGGCCAAAGACTTAAAGCAATCTTGGCAAATATATTCTTGAAGGCTGTTCTAAAGAAAGCCCTCTGTTTTAAAAGGGTCCATGCTTCAATTTGACACACTCTTCTCTTTCATAATGTTAAAAAAATCTAATAAAAATGTTAATTATATTTTATTAAATAACACATGAGATAGAAAGTGTTCTCAAAGAATAAAATTAAATATCTAAGTTAAACATATGGTTTTGGAATCCAAAATTCTTTACAATAACATGATTAATTCTTTTAAACAGAAAACTGCCACAAACAGAAAAGTGAGAACATTACATTTTAGTCAGGTGGCAGAAAATTATTATCTTAACTGATATTGTTAGTATTAGTTCAGGTGGGTAGCTGCGTCAGCATGCGTAGGCTGCAAAGGAACAAGTAATAGGTTTATTCCATGCTGAAAAAAAGAAGAAAGAGAACACAACGTTTCGGCCGTGGAGCCTTCTTCAGGTGTGAGAGAGACAGGGCAGTAGGCAAAGGTAAAGTAGCGGGAGAACAAAGGTTGAGAGGGAGGAGGAGTGAGAGGCGGGAGCAGGGGACAGAAAGAGAGGCCAATCAAGAGGTGTGAAGTCAGAATGGGTGCAGAGAGGTGTGAAATGAAACTTCCAATGAATGGAGAAAATTTAAAAGAACAGTAATCTGTCGTTAAGGGAAGGGAGAATGTGTGATCCTAGCTGCAGAATAATTTTAGTTTCGGTGGTCTTTCTGATGTATGAGTTCGGAAAACCGTCTTTGAGAACACAGACGGAGAGATTAGAGTGGTCGTGGCCGTCAGAGGTGAAATGAGAAACAATGGACTTGGAGAGATCTTTAATCTTCACAGCCCTGACGTGTTCTCTGAAGCGGATTGTTAGTATTAGTTATCTATATGAAAAGCCTTTTATTACAGCAGTATAAACAATGTTAAATGTTGCCTAAATATAAATTATGCTGAATAACATCAGCTTCATAAAAACTCTGAATAATGTACTACTAGATAACATATACATTTACAGGTTAAAAAAACCACAACTATAGATCAATTCAAAAAGTTGAATTTACCTGAAATTTTTCGCCTCTGTTCATCTGGGTTGACCTGAACTCTGGAGAGTCAATGAAGGCATTGGTGTAAATATTATGAAGAAAATGCCCACGATACGATACCTTCATTCTAATATAAGAAATAAGGTTATATTAAACATAAGCCAGGAAAAAACTAAAACCAGCAACATTATTTCAAATTGGTTCTCTGTAAATATAGAGGAAACCATTTAGATGTTTGGAAATATAACATATCCTGTATTTGATAGAAAGGACTCTGCACTGTTACCCATCATACACTTAAATTAAGCCTTTGTCAAATTTTGTGTTGATATTTTCATCTATTTCTAAATGTTTTATCAGACTCTGTGAAAAACTAGAAATGTAAGAAGTTTAACTAATAATGAAAAATGCTGTGTTATTCATCCTATCTAGGAAGGTCTATCCGGGGTGCAAAGTATGCTACACCCTGGCCGGGAAGCCTGTCCATTACAAGACAGACAAACACGAACGCACTCACACTCACACCAGGGCCAGTTTTCCCAGAAATCAATTAACCTATGAGTATCTTTTGACTGTGGGAAGAAACCCATGCGAACACAGGGAGAACATACAAACTCCACGCAAACAGCACCACAGGGATTGGATGTATTTTTTTAATTATAAAAAATATCTGTTCCTACTGTATGTATTTGTGGACCTCTTAGGTTTCAATTGCCCTGAGTTCAGTCCCCGAGATAACACTGGTCAATACAGATTTCTGAGGTAAATGGAACAAAAGTGTTCATACTTTCCCTTGAGCAGGATGCTCAGCCTGTCATCAACAGATGTCTTATCCTCAGCAGCATATGCCTGTCCCTTCTTCAGAGACTGGATGGTACAAAACTGACCGGTCAACCTCTGGAACATATCCTCACGTACATGAAGGGGCTCGAACATTCTTTTGTAGACAGACTTCAGCTCCCTGTCAATTTTAATCTGTAGAAAAAGAACAAAACAAGCAAACACACTAAGCTTATAAATGATCCTGTAACAGTTAATTTTGAAATTTAAAAAAAGTAAACACAAAAAAGTACACTGAAATAATACTATTTAAGAATTATTAAGCAGTTATAAAATAATTAACTGCTTACCAGAGCACTTTTTTTCAATGGCTTCAGAATATTTGCATCAATGAAAGTGTAAAAGCACCACAGATTATAGTTATTAATAAATATGTATATGTAAACACCATCTGAAGAGTGCACAAATCCAAACGGTACTTTTCAGCATAATTTACTGAACCAAGGGTAGGAGTTCCATGTGTTTATTTTTACTTGAAATGACAATGTACATGTGTTTCAAAGAAAAGATGCAGTCATCAGTTTTACATGAAAATGTGTAACTTGTGCAGCATCTTTAACACATCTGTATCTGTGTTACAAGCTGTAATGAATTAAGCCAGTTATAATTCTGTAAAAAATTAAGTAATTGGTATTGAATTTAATTTTGTATGGTTTGTTGAAAGGGGACATTCAGAAGTTCAGCTTTCTGGAGAAAATATAACATTCAATGTTCCAAATCCAAATAGTCACTTATGTATATATGTGGAAGATATCTTTCACAGACCACCATAAATGCTACTCTGATTATTAACCTAGGAAATCTGAAATATCTAGGATGGACAGGGAGTTTAGTTTTTTTTCCCCAATTAATGTATTAGAAATATATACTGCATATTATTCAGAATAAGCACTCAACCAAAAATTGAAACTAATTGAAGTGTTTACTGCAGTGTAGTAGAAACGTTTCTGGACTAATGGCTAGTGGGCTGCTTGAGTCTTTGCTGCAGACACTGCTGGTGTACCTTACGTAAGGTACTTTACTCAGCTGTATGAATGGGGAATAACATTTGCTCAGTGTCTCGTCCAGTGGGTAGACACTTCTCTGTTTTCTTAATATCACAGGGTCCAGAGTAAGCTCTGATCTGACAAATCATTGTACCTCAAATATGGAAGTTACCTAACCACAGTACTTATTGGTGATAAGATTTTGGACTCATAACTGACAGGTTGGCTCAAGCTCTGTTGCAGACATTTCTCATTGTACCCACGAGAAATGTAATTTCTCGCAGTTTCTCCAGTCCACCCAGCTGTGCAAGGGGGGACCAGCATTGACGGGGGTAATCCCTGCGATGGACTGGCGTTCCACCCAGTAAAGTCAATTGCCATGGGCACTAGGAAGAGCTCTGGGCCGATGACTCCATTATGGACTTTACCTTCTATTTATTTAGACATGTTAACTAGTCACATGCAAATAGATATCTTCATTATACATTACCGAACATTTAATAGTTGGACTTAAACTGAGCTGTGGGCTGTTTGGGGAGATTCTCTCCTGCAAAGATTTTCTGTGCATCAACATTGCATTTTCATGACATTGAGAATAACACAAGTATGTTGCCTATTTTGCCGAATTTAAAACTTATTCTGTATGTCAACAGCAAGTTTCCCCATAAAAATAGGCTATGAAACCTTGAAGGACACCAGGGTGAATCTCTGTGTCTACACAAAGATAACATAGGGTGTTTTCCACCTTATTTTTATATTGCATAAGTTCAAATATTTGCATTTATGTTAGTGATCACATATAAAAAACAAATGCAATTAATTTAGATACATAAATATAATTATATTAATTTACACCTAAATTAAGACATAACTCTTCTGGTATGTTCTGAATTTATTTGAAAAGAAACCTAGCATTTCTATTTGTTTTGCAAAAAATACTAACAGACCACTACCAAATACAAAAACATATAAACAAGAAAAGATAGAAAATATATTACTATTTGAACACTAAGTCCACACCATGTTTAGGAAATATGCACTTACAGGTCTTCTTTTGTATAAGAGGTACAGGAAATGCATGAAATTCATAACAAGGAACACAGAATTCCAAATCATGATATCCAAGGCACATCTGTACAGGGTTGCCCAGGCAATAAAAAGTGCACATCCTGAAAAATATCAGCAAAAGAATTACAAGCCCCATTCATTAGGCAAAAAACAGACAGTATTTAAGCCATTTTTTTCTGTCTAGCCAGTGTTGAAAATCTATTTAATGATGCCTTTAAACTTCCTATTAAAGTTTAATACTTTCTAGGCAGAGTAAATGAAAGCATTGTATTTAATAATGTCATTGGTGCTATGATTTTTTTATGTCATTAGTGTATTTAACAAAGTTAAACTGAAGCAGACTGTAGTCTACTTCCATGCCATTCCCTTACAGTAACAATTAATGGATATTTGATATCCACGTTTATTTGATATAAGAGTTTACTTGATTCATGCCCTGTGTGAAAGATCTAACTTACCCTGTTCTTAGTCAATTTTATATTTTTGGCATTTCAGCCACAAGGGGGAGAACGTGAGAGCTGATGGAAATTGATTATAGAGCAAAGCAAGACACAGACACACTTCTTACCCTCTTTGCTGTGCAGAGGAAAAATGCTTATAAAAACAAATGTTAAAATAAGCAAAGAAGAGCAAAAACCTTTATGGATATGAATCAGGCTGCTTCAAAATTCAAGAGATACTGTATTTGAGAGCTACTGAAATGCTTATGCTGTCAATAAAAACAGGCACCAACAACTAAGTTTGTTTACATACCTATTATCAGCATGGTGCGCAAAAATATCATATGCAGGTTGAACGTAGTTGGGATAATAAGGCCGACAGCAAAACAGAGATTAGCCATGTGGAACACAAAGTGGTGGACTTCTTTCCAGTCTTCACAAGAGGTCACATTTTGCTCTGCACTTCCGCCACTTACTATTGTGCTATAATCCATAGGTAATGTAGTCAAAAAGTATTTGGTTGTTTCTGTGGAAGCTGCCATTCTGGAACTCTAACTAAAATAGAAAAAAGAAATTGAAAGAGAAAAACAATTCCCATTTAGCTGTTATTTACTACATAACTGCAACAGAGTAAAGCGGAATAAGCCTCCGCTGAACCCTGTTTCCATCCAGGGTGATGTAGAGGGCGTACATTCCTACAAGTATTTAGGGGTACACCTGGATGATAAGCTGGAGTGGTCTGGTAACACTGATGCCCTGTACAAGAAGGGTCAGAGCCAATTCTATTTTCTTAGGAGACTCAGGTCCTTTGGTGTGTGTGGAACACTGCTACACATTTTTTATGAATCAGTGGTGGCAGCGGCCATCTTCTACACTGTGGTGTGTTGGGGCAGCAGCATCATGACAAAAGATGCAAATAGGCTCAATAAACTCATCAAGAAGGCTGGCACTGTGTTGGGGATGAGCCTTGACCCCCTGGAGGTGGTGGCTGAGAGGAGAATGCTGGCCAAGCTCACAGCCATCATGAACAACACCTCTCATCCGCTTCATGGGACTGTTACTGGGCAGCGGAGCACATTTAGCAATAGACTGCTCCAGCTACGGTGTTCAAGGGAACGTTTCCGCAGGTCTTTCCTCCCGGCGGCTGTCAGGGTGTATAACGATACCCTTGGCTAGGACTTTTAGCCCTTCATTTGCTCCTCTATGGACAGCATGTTTACTCCATTGTACTTTTTGGACAATCAGTCTGTATAAACCTATGCACATTTTGCACAAATTTTATTATTTTTACAGTGACTATGATCAGCACATTTTGTACACACCTATGTATTTATTTTTATTTATCTTGTTTGTCTTTTGTTTTATAACTATTCTGATGTCTGTTTTGCTTGTCTTGGGCTGGACTGCTGTAACACATCAATTTCCCTACGGGATTAATAAAGTATTATCTATCTAAAGGGCTATGGTTCAGTGTGTATTCTGTCATAAAAAATTCTTTAAGCTATAATTGTTACATTTTTATATAACATTCCAATTCAATATCCAATGGTATTTTAATGAGCATCAGGGTGTGGGAGCCTGAAACAAGCTAACCTGACATGTTCGGATCAGCTAGCTACTAGGATACAGCGTTAGATGAATCAAAAGACCACCTTTCATGTGTAACCTTTCATATGTAATATTTTCATACACATAAATGTACAAGCAAATTATAGAACTATTACCTGAAAATCCAAACATATTTATCTTGTATCTGCCCCTTCTCAATCATTACATCAGCATTATCATTTTCAGTGAATACTAGGTGGGATTAGCCTTGGGTAAAGGCTGTGAGTCAAGAGGAAATCTTTTTTTATTAATCTTATTATAAGCTTTGATTATGAGAGAGGTTGATTAATCATTTTCAGTGAATATTTGGAGTGTTGTGTTTAAAATTGAAATGTTATTACATTAATGAAAGGAAAAAAAAACATTATATATTTTCTGTAAGCCAATGATTTTTTAAAGGAACTATGAGTTTTTCTTATAAACAGATGAAAGAAGAATATATTGTGTAAGTAAAACTCTTTTTATAAAATATTATCTTCCTACAATGTTTTCTGTTTTCATCTCTCTAAAAAACTCAAAAGACAATTTTACTTTACTAAATAACTCTAATAATGGGGAAAACGCTATTTAATAAAAATATAAACACCAAAGTTATTTTTTAAACATTTGTAATTTGTTGGTGTTGATAATAATGTAACCAAAACTTAATAACCGTTAATTTAATTACCGTCTTAATTATCATGTCATTTCACTCTCACATAATTAATTTTTTGTTAAGATAATAATCCAGGTATCTAGAAAAAAAACTTAACCAGCTTTAGATCTTAAATACAATCTGACACTTGCAAGGCATTAGAATTCATGAATATTACCTAGATATAAAAAAGCAAATGTGATATAAAAATATTATATATAAAAAGTAATCACGATTTTTATCCTTGTTACATGTGCTTGGGTGTTCACTTGGATGATGTACATACAGAGGAACAATCTCACTCTCAACCATATTATATATTGTGCTATGTTACCAGGTCTATTTATTGTCTGTATCAGTAACAGTATAGTAATGTTAAAAGACATGTCAGTTCTTGATCAAGTCAAATCTCTCAGTACACATTAAATATTTAGAAAATACTGGAAGTAGATGCCTAGATTGTTAAATTAACAAATAGGTCAAACTGGTATTTCGTAATACCTACTTGTTAATTTCTGAAGGATTTAGGAGGGAAACCCAGCTGTTTTATTGAAATCTATTAAGAACTTAAAGTTGACTTTGTAACTATGTAGACCTTAACTTTGTTAAAATAAGTTGTTTAATATTTTTAAAGAAATCTTCTCCACATGATCATGTGACTTAATTTGGTTTATTTTCTTATATGTATACAGTGTTTGCTGAACTTCCAGTGTATAACCTGACACCGTTATTGTTATTGTACGAATTTAAGAAGTGTAGTAAACACTACTCTTTGTTCTTATTCAAAATGATACAACTTTACAAACTTAAAATATACTGTAGAAGTACACGTAATGCAATTATATTCACAAAACACGAGTATAACTTACAAACATTCCTTAAATTAATTTTATTATTCGGTCTTTTAAAGATATTTTAAAACATCAGTATATAAATAATAATTATTCAATGCTACCGTAACTTCTGCTTCATGAAGGTTAAAGTTAAAATATGCTTCAGAATCTAACTCTGCGGTTACTGGTGCTTATAGCAGAGACCCGGTAGTTCCAGGTCAGTAATTTGCCTGTATTCTTTAAACACTCGTGTGCCTCGAAAATACGAGTAAGTTTGTTTAGAAAGTAGTATGTTGTGCTTTTTTGCAAGAAATGCCATCTAACCTAAATTGCACAAAATGCTACTGAGAGTAAAGGTCCAAACGACATTAAGTTAGAAAGTATGTAAAATATACAATTGCAATATAAAACTTAAAATATAAATGCATGCCAGACACTGTTACAAGTTAAGGTTATTATGTTTCTTCACTGACAGCTAGTCACCATGCTTCCTTCCACCAACTTTCTTTTTCGTCCAAATTAAAAAAAATGTGTGATGGTGCGACCAGCAATATTATTAATGGAATAAAAATATCACAACAAACGTTAAGAGACATGTGACACGGAAACTCACCTTACACGAACCTTCCCCGAATGCTGATTTTTTTTGTCTGATTTTAATAATCCCAAATATATCCACTTTAACAGGGAGCTGTCAAATTCCAGTTCGAAAATCTATGGACTGAAATCTTGCTATATGCACTTACCGTCTCTTGTAAACACCTCTCGGTAAACTGCACAAGAAAATACAAGCTATAATAATCAATAAAGAAAAGAAACCTAACAAAAAAGAAGGTAGAACTGTAACTGTAAACCCGTATGAAGCAGGGCTGCACAATGTGATCTTCGCATTCCACCTCTGCTGCTGACAGTCTTTTACTAAAATGGGCAAGGAGCGAGGGAACAGCCGTCTCCGCCGCCCAGACATTCCGAGTGTGCATAGTGCAGGAACGCCACCAGGGGGAGACAAAGCAAACTACAGGAGAATTTATAAATCTTATTATTTAACATTTTTAGCAATCATATTTTCGCGACCAAGATCGAAGGCCACCTTGATATTTTTGATATCTTGAGTCTTTGAAAACTAGTAAGTAAGCCATGGATGAAAATCGCGGCATATGGAAGTCTTCATAGTAAAAGATGACTTCATAGCTAACATAGCTAAATTTCGACGCAAAACACCGTGACTTCCTTATCGGATTAATTTTACAACGGGATGGTTTTGAGAAACTATTCAAACAATAGTCTCTGTTTACAATTTGGAATGGAGTGAATGACAGCAAATGTAATCGTTTCCACTGGGCATGCTTTTTCCTGTAAGGCTACAGTAGTCTTTTTTTTTTTAATTTTACAGTCCTCACTTCTTACAGCTGACTTGACAATATGCAAGGTGCGTTCAGCACCCTGGACAGCGCTTTAAGGTGACAGGTAATCTCAGATCCCTTGTCAGTGTATTTTACAAACTGTACTCAAATGTTGATCAGGGAACTGCTGACATTAAAGGGAAACGGCAAGAATAACAATCAACATTATGAGTTTTACTTCATGTCTGCGTCCTGTCGACTGGATATTAGTTATCAGCCACAAGTCAGTGTTATGTCTAAAGAAAATTGTTTTAGAGACCCATCACAGAAAAATGTATACTCGCAAAAACAAAGAAAAAATTATGAAGTGTCCTTAAATTAAGGCAGAAGTATGAAAAATCAAAATTTGAAACTGCCAAACGTTTTAGTACTCTGAAGCATAGTTCTTAGCATACAGTGCATCAAATAAATCATATGGAATGCTGCAAGGCTAATTGTTAATTATATAAAGAACCCCCAAATTATATTGTGTTTTACAGTCTGATATTAATTTTTTTTTTCAATTTTAGATGAGATTGTAAGATCAGGAACTTTTGCTCTATTATTTATGCAAATACTTCACCTGCATTTTTAGAAAATGTCTAATAAGCAGAACATTGTTCACTACTCCACAAAATCTTATTTTGCACAGTCTCTAATATAATTGTGAAATGGTTAATGCAGGCCAGAGAGAGAGGAAAGGAGGAAATATGTGTTTTTGCTTGTAAGCACCAGAATTTGCAATGTGTTTCATATAAAACATGCTTTTATATATTACTTTACACCTCTTGTATGAAAGACAAGTTCGACATGCATGCAACTTAAAAATAGCAAACATTTATTAGGATTTTGAAAAAAAAACATTTCTGGAAGGGTATAATCATAAAATAAACAATTTCATTTTTTTCCCTTAACACAGAAACAATTACCACCACCACCACCACCACCACCAACAACAACAACAACAACAACAACAACAACAACAACAACAACAACAACAACAACAACAACAACAACAATAATGGTTTAACATCACCTTGAAGCTTAATATACTGCAGAAACAATTATGGGAAAATTACAAGGCACTTCACTACATTCAATTGTTAATCAAAAACAATCACATTTTGTTTACTGTATTGTAATTATTCTATTTACAACAGAATCCTTACAGTACATTAACATTATATGCGAAAACAGTTGGGAAAAAAAGAGAACATTTTGAAATTTAAGGGGGAAAATGACTTTCACTACAATGAAGAACAAATTTACTGCAGATCCATTTACAACAATATTCTTTCAGTCCAAAATTCAAAGCTTTGACCTAATTTTGCTTTCAGTCAAAGAATGAGTAGGCATGTTAAAAAAAAGTTAAAGCATAATAGTTATTGGCCACATACCCTGATTACTTCTTTACTTGTATGATTTAAGACTTAACATGAAGCAGTACACAAATCATGGATATCAAAGTCATGCTAAACATTACAGTTCGTATTATCTCATTTGATGCTTTACAGTCTATCAGTTTGTAGTAGTTACACTTTGATTCAATCATCTGTACATGCTTTTAAACAGGTTTAAACAGACTTGTTATGAATTAAGTATATATTTTCGTCTGCTAACAGGAATGCTCCAACTCCATTCCAGCCGAGATATAAATAGGCCAATACTGGTAAAAGTGTCTGTGACTCATCATGAAAGCTACCCTGCATTCGAACTAGCTTAAGACATGTGCTTTTCATTATTAGACCCTGTGCAAATCATTTTGTATTTTATGACAGCATTGCATGTAATTTAGATTACTGCAGTCAATCAAAAGGCAAAATTCTTAATAAAATGTATTTTATTCTACACTACAATAAATACATCTTTCCTGTTCCAAGTACAAAGTGTTTATTTTGATTTTTTATTTAGAGTATGTAAATAATTACATTTATTACAAAAGTTTTGATCTCTACTTCTACCAGTGGGTAATAAACAGTTATTTCACTGACCAAGACACAGGTCAACTTTCAAAATATCACCTACATTTTCTACATGTTAACTTCCCCATACAGTACATTACATCTCTCACAGGCATGAACTGACAATTTAGGATTACACTTATTCAATATCACCACATAAGAATGACTTGAGTATATAGTATATATAGTATATTGGACTGAGCTGTGATGATCAACTCCGAAATATACTTGTAGCACATAAACAAACAGTGAAATTGTATAAGGCTTTATTGTGATTATGAAAATGTATTAAAAGAAGGATAAATATCAATGTTTAAAGAAAGCAATGACTGCAATTATAAAATACTATAACTCTATATTTACAACAGCAAATTTCAAATGAACTGCTTTAAATGTACACAAAACTTTGACATCTCCACACCAATTTTAGGCATAGAAAACAAGATTTAAAGGAATTTGCTACACTATAAGACTTTCCTTGAATATCACTATTTCAGTATTTCAAATTTCATATGTTTAGGTCAGACGTTATATTGCAAGTACTGTAAGAATTTCAAATTGAAACCATTTTAAATTGATTTAATCTTTCATTTTAAAAGTCAACCCCTGTTCCCCTGAGATATTTCAGTACAAATTTAAAGGCCAAAGACATATTCTTATGCTCAAGTCAAATAATGATCAATAACACTATGGTGTTCTTCTGTGGAAAAACTATGCTGAATAGACCAGTGGTTCGAATATTATAGCACAATTATAGTCACAATTTATTGACAGATCTGAGACATTTGATACAATATCAGGCATGAATGAAAGAAAAAAATGCAATGCAAATTAATGTGAGATAATTATAAGTTTCTATTTAAGTAGTTAAGAAAACTATCTCATTAATATTATTATTGTATTTGACTTCCTTACAATTCTTTGAGTCAAATATAAAATATAAAGGTATCTGTTTATAATATCAAAAAGCCTAAGACGTATTTTGATAATGTAATTGACTTGTGACTTTGTATACCAGGGTGGTGCAATCTTCCTTATTCTTCTTTGAAAAACGTGCTTGAGCTCTGTCAGTTTGGTTGTGGATAATTGATGAACGGCAATCGTCAAATCTTGCCACAGAGTTTGCGAGTCACTGTGCAGCTGAAAGGTTAAATTTCATGCCAGTTGCAGTTCTTTTTTGCAGACTGAAGCAGGTTTTCCTCTAAAATCTCCCTGTTCTTTACTCTATTCATTTTCTTTTTGATCTTGACAAACATCACAGTCCCTCCTGAAGAGCCCCGCAACATAATGCATCCTTAGCACAATGAATGCTAATCACAGAAACCAGTTTGCGACTTCTCAAATAAATTATATGCAACTGATCTAATTTAAATGTGTCATAGCAAAGGGGTGAATACGTATTTAATCAATACTGTATGTGCAGTTTGTCCTGACATTTACCTATAAAAGTATTCAGTGTGAGCAATCAAATTGAAAAAAATAATGTAAAAAAGTGTATACATAATTTTCAATTAAACAAAATGGAACATCAGTAGAAGTGAATTAAGACCTTTGAAAGGCAGTGTTTAAACAAGGATCTACTGTGGATATATATCAAGAAATCAGGCCAACACTTCATTGAAAATTAATTTTCAAAATAAAATATAATTCTGAATGTATTGTAATAGTTACTTTCAGACGATAGAGATACATATTTAGTACAACGCTTTGTAGTATTGTTTCTATGTGCTGCATACAGTTCATAATTAAGAAGTCAGCACTTTCCCGGAGTAAAAATGACTAGAAAGGCAACTGATGAGAAACCGACCATCAATAAAATGATCCGACCGTGCTGATCAGCAGAGTTCCTTTCGACGAGGATCAGATTAACTCTGCTGCTCTGGTTCTTGGATGCCTCTCTTTTCTAAATCCGGGACAACCACGTGACAGAAATTGGGTAATCTGAGATCATATCGAAATCCATTGCTGTCATAGGCCTTGTCGCTGAGTGAGTAGAGTTTATCTGCTATGTCATTCCTGACCAGGAGGGAGAACACTTTGGCGATATAACGGTTCTTTGCAAACAGTAAATAAAGTTTTTTACGCCTCCAGCCTACATATCGACAATGAGTGTCGGCTGTCAGTGTAACCTGTGGAGGAAAAACATTTCAGTAACATTTCCCGTTTCTGGAAATCAAGTTGAACTGCAACAATTAACATTACGACATTTGAAAAGTTTAAGTGAAACATAAACGTTCATATTCAAATGAAAGTCAATTCAGTTTTAGCCCTAAGAAAGAACTATTCGCAAAAAAACCATCCAAAACTGAAAACACCGTAAAAAAAACACCGGAACTGTTGAATATGTCGATAAAATAGTTTACTTTAACAGTGATATACCTATTTTGCGTTTATCAGTCTTATAATTTAAGTCTGGTCTGATTACAGAGGTGTGCAAACCGGGATGCATCAGCTTCACGAATACCTATCGTCAGTTTCAGTTAAGTCAATTTGTAATTAATGCACTCTAACATTCATGGAACATTCTTGAAACAGTTACCTGAAACATCCCCTCTTCTGATGGCCTGAGAGAATCCCATTCTGGTGAATCAAGGAACTGGTAGGGGTAAATATAGTGTAAAAACTCACCGTTAACCGTTACCTGGATTCTGCCAAAACAAAAATACCGGTTACATTATAAGAACTCTATGGGTATAACTAAAATGGTACACGCATTAAGATGAATATAAAGTACAAGAGAGACACACGCTTAACTATTAATTTAAGGTGAACGAAAATCTACATTTCTAACCTACCTTCCAGACAAAAGAATGGAAAGTTTCTCAATTGCCGTTTTGCCTTCCATTGCATAGCAATGGTCTTTTTCGATAGTGTGGATCTGTCCTTCGGAGCAAGAAACTATCTTCCCATAAGCGGTAAGGGACACCCCCAGTTTTTTGAACATAAAACCATAAAGATCTTGTAAGTCTTTATCAAAGGTGACACTCCGGAGACGATATGCTACGTGGACGATTTGAAGCAGACAGATCACAAAAAGGCTGAAATTCCACGAAAAAGTATCTGCTGCACACGCATCTAACCATGCCCAAATCGACGAGCAGAGAAAACCAAGTGCCACAAAGAAAAACAAGTAAAGAAGCCCATAGAACCCGCTTCCTCCCATGAAACCCAAAACTAAGAAAATATTGGCGAGATGGCAGACGGCACCTTCCACATCATCCTTCCAGTCAATGCAGAAAGGGAGACCATCTATCACCGTGCTCCACAAAGTTGAGTTATCGTCCTCCAAATACACTTGCTCCATTGAATAACTGGACGCTTAAAAAGAACTTGATTGAAAAGGTTTATGAATGTGACAAGTAAGTTTAAACTGCATTATCTTCAAAAGCCAACAACACGTTTGAGAGGATCCTAGAGGCTTCAAGTTCTTAAATGAAAACGCAATGAATAATCCCCGGTCCTAAAATGTAACCACAGACTTTGGCGTCTCATCCTCACTTTGAACGATCTGCCGTGTGCTTTCTCCCCCAGGTCCCGTTGCCTTCCGTTTTCAGAGGTGAAAACCTGAACGGATCTACCTTATCCTTGCATTCGCAAATGCTGCTGAAAAGAACCGGGTACGTGGGAAAGAACTATGCTTTGGACTACCTAGGTGCATAAAATCTACTTCAACAACGAGCATCTGAAATGGGTGCGGTGTTTTTACCATCTGGTAAAGAAGGTAACATCCTCCGCCGAATATAGGACCGAAACATATAGGCAATATTGATTCTGAAGAGAGAACAATAACAGTATAATAAAAATGACTATCAGTGTGCAAATTCTAGAAACTGGTTTATCGACCACTTTCAGCGTCTCAGCGTGTAGGCTGTCACAAAATGCTACTATATTCTAAACGCCCTATTTATTAGAAACGATATTGTCATAACTGTCATTCGTATGTTTTTAAAGAGCACTTGCAATGAAGACTGGCAATCCACTGACTCCACTGTCGAAACGCTCATTTTGTATATTTTTGCTTACATTTTTTTTGTTTTTGTATTTTTAAAGAGTACATCTTCCAAATGTTATCCTTTGCCTTCACTCCAAGTCCCTGAGTAGAACATTTTGTGTGTCTTACATCTTAGTTTAATCACCATTTTAATGCATAGAGTGCCAGTCAAAATATCTCCTACCTTAATACAGATTAAAAACACCAGGGATAGATCAAATAAAATAACTGAAACTGAGACAAATTGATCTTTATGATATTCTATCTAAAGTGGGATTATGAATAACGCACAACCCATTGCTAAATGACTTGTGCTAACTGAACAGAATTCACTGCTGTACTGAAGTCATGAGACATCTTAGACACAGGCCTTGCAGTATACTGTATACACTTTTATTAAAATTGATAAGAACATAAATGAGCATCAGCTATTTAGTTACAGACTCAACTAGGTTTCTACAATTGTAACAACTTTGATTTGTCATTATGGAGTCTTCAATTAAAAAAGTAAAAGTACATACTGTACAAAAAAGGTATTACGAAGTCTTGTAGTACTGTAGCTATTTACAGCTCCTTATAAAATCCAATGTATTTTCTGTCATTCCTCATCATTAACATGGTTTATTTTATTCTCTACACCAGCAGTTCCTAAGCGAGGATCTGGAAGAACACCGTCTTTTGTAGTTTTTGCTTAATCCTGAGCAAATGAATCTAAGTTTTCTATTTGGGGTGTATTTACTCATTTGCATTTGGCTCTTAAAAGGTCAAATGTCATCTCTATTTGGTATAATTTCTATACTGACATCTGTGTTTCAAATCAGCACTGATTCAGTTGTGTTGACTGAAAATTAACCAATTGCACTTCTATAAAAGGAAAGACCACTCAATGTGGGAGTGTCTGATACAGTGTCATTCCCACCTGTGTCTGTTCATCATAATCAATGAGCTGTTTAATCATAAATAACATTAAGCAAGTTGTGGAGAGTCCCTCTAGAGATGGGAAACCACTGCCTCACAAATCTATAAAGTTTAAGGCTACTTTTTGTGCCGGAAAATACACGCATATCAGGATGAACTATTTATTGCATATAACTGTTTCTTTATACATAATGAAAATTGAAAGGAAAGAGTAGGACAATGCAAAATGTCTAAGAGTTTTGCACAGTTTGTTTTATATTACTGTATGTGTTTTAATGTGAACCAACTATCGTGAACAGTGCCGTCCCTCAGGAAATGTGATGACGCTGAAGGTGATATAGACCCAAGACAGTAAGTGCGACAGACCAGGGAGAGTGGCCGGCTCAAAGCACCACGGGCACAGAAGAGGGTAAAAAGTAAAATTTAGTCTGCTGACATAAACTGAGAGCTGGGGCTGTTGGGTGCTCTCTTCTGTCCAGGAGCAAATTCCTGCGTCCAGGTTCCCTATAAAAGTTGGCTGCACAGAGAGGGCAGGCAGCTTCTGGAGGGGTGGACATCTCACTGCAGTTGCTTGGGGTGCAGCCAGGCGAACTGGAGAGCTGTAGTGACCGGAGGGTTGATTCAAGACACAAGCCCTTAAGAGACCAGGCCTGGCATGTGCTGTTGGTGAAACGCCCGGAAGAGGACGTAACCAATTTCCCAGGCACCATCTGGACTGGTCCGGTGGAGACATCTGCTTAGGCTGGGTCTCCGCTTCAGACTTGACGTCCAGTTCTCTCTCAGCCACTGGAATCCTCTGGGCAGCACAGCCATGGAGAAATGCTCCCAGACGGAGCCCTAAGGAACTGGAAACCAGGGTCAGGAAGGGCTCCACTGGGAAACTGGAATGGTGGCTCAGGAGTGAGATGAAGATGTCATTGCTGGCCACTGAAACTGCAACACGCCCCGCCGGAGAACAGTGAGGGTGGGCACAGCTACGCTCCACTGTAAGGTGGCGGGGCAAGTATAACACCAACACAATAAAAGATATGGATCAATCCAGAATAATGCAATTTCCAAGTTTTAGTGATCTTACAGTTTTCCCAGTTGCCTATTCACTGTGACCAAATGCACACAGAGAGCGATCTGATCTCAATACAAAATTCCCAGAACAATGCACCAGCTCTGCAGAACTGAACACATTCATTGCATTCAACACGCCACAGAATCCTCAGTGTATAAGCACATTAGTCATTGTAAGAACACTTGGGCCATTACTTACTAATACGTGAAACCCCTGGTAACACTCAAAGTGACAATGAAGTACAACAGTCCTCACCTGAACAAACACAGTCAAATACTTTCACTCAGTTCTCCAATATAAAAATGGTTGCAGAAGTGGTCAGTACAGAAAACAATTGAGCAACAAAGAGCACATAGAGCAAGAGGTAGGGGGAAATAGAGGAAGACAACACATTTCAAATGAATGAAGAGCCATTCTGATTGATAATTAAATAAACAATGGAATGAATATGCGGGAAACAGGACGAGAAGTGTAATAATAATAATAATAATAATAATAATAATAATAATAATTGCTTACACTTATTTAGCGCTTTTCTGGACACTCCACTCAAAGCGCTTTACAGGTAATGGGGACTCCCCTCCAACACCACCAATGTGCAGCATCCACCTGGATGATGTGATGGCAGCCATAGTGCGCCACTGATAGCTGATGCTTACTACACATCAGCTATCAGTGAGGATAATGGAGCCAATTCATAGATGGGGATTATTAGGAGGCCATGATTGGTAAGGGCCAATGGGAAATTTGGTCAGGAAGCCGGGGTTACACCCCTACTCTTTTCAAGAAACGCCCTGGGATTTTTAATGACCAGAGAGAGTCAGGACCTCGGTTTTACATCTCATCTGAACGACAGCACCTATTTACAGTACAGTGTCCCCGTTACTATACTGGGGCATTAAGACCCACATGGACTGCAGGGTGAGCGCTGCACTAAGGTTGCTGCTGGCACCACTAACACCTCTTCCAGCAACAACCCTAGTTTTTCCCAAGAGGTCTCCCATCCAGGTACTGACCAGGCTCACACCTGCTGAGCTTCAGTGGGCTGCCAGTTGTGAGTTACAGAGTGATATTGGGCCATGTTACCCAATCTGAGCTGGTTCACTGTAGTTTGAATCATCTGAACCTTTAGGACTGAGAACAGATGAGTGGGTAGAAATTAAAAGTAACTTGCAGGATATTTGGCCCTCATAGCAGCAAGATGACAGCATGTTGGAGCATGACTTAGCGTAGTTTCTATGCAGAATTCAGAGAAGACCAGTGGCTGGTGGGTGAAACCAACTGCTCACCCCCAGAACAAGAGGCTGAAATAGTTAACATGGTGTTGGCAAATAATGTCCTAAAACTCAAAGAAATCCAACACCATATACAAGAGGACAATGGAATGTTTCACAACGTGGATCGTACAGTACAGTGTATCCATATCCACCATTGATCGCATGCCGAGAAGGCACAGGATGTCTATGAAGCAAATATATTGTGTGCCATTTGAGAGAAACAGGGATCATGTGAAAGAAATGTGCTACTTATACATGCAGGTAAGCTATGAATCTCCATACAGTAGGAACAAGTAATGGGTTTATTCCATGGCACTTGTCTTGCACAAAGGTGTTGGGGAGTAGTGTTTCAGTATACAGTACTGTAAGAAAAATGCACAATGTCCTCATCACTATACCTATATAATTATGTCTTTATTCAGAGTAAAGACATTTTTATTTTATTTTATTTTGTCATTTGGGACAATGTAAGCTTCTACCGTGCAGTGGTTTTCAGGAAATGGTTCACCAACCAGCCTTAAATCCAGGTTGTCTTCCTTCCACCATATTCTCGGATTGAGGAATTTTTTTCTGCATGGTGATGGAAGGTTTATGACTGTAAGCCTTATGAGCCAGTCAGTCTACTCCGGGCAATGGAAGAGACCTGTGGTGATGTTCGCGTAGATGCTTGCCAAGCATGGATTTGTCATGCTAGGAGACTTTTTTTCCCTGCTGCTGCTAGGGAAAACATCAACTGTGATGTAGATGAAAAACTGTGGCCAAATCCACAAGACAGACAAGACTGTTTCTGAATGCAGCATTTTTTTTGCTTGCATACAGTAGTTGTGTTTGGCAGTTAACTGTGTTTTTCTTAGTTTACAGAAAGCATGTTGTGTATTTTACTGTAATTTGTGTAAAAAGAAACCATCTGAATAGTCATTACAGTGATTTTTTTCAAAATGGTTTTGTTCAATTTGTTATGTTCCTACATACATTTCTCCTTTTTATCAGAGAATTTACTTTTTTGACAAAGTGTTTTATTGTTGCTTTCTGAGAGTTACAAATATCGTATGACATAAGTGTGTGGCATTCAGACCTGATAGTTTGTTTTTTGAGGGCTGTGTATGTGGTTTTTCAGCCATTATGTGTTTTTTCCGTGTTAGATTTTGCAGATGTGGTATTGGTGAATAGTTCAGAGAATTATGCGCCAGCAATTGAGAAAAACTGTAACGTGTCTTGTGTCTAAAGTCTGAGTTTGATTCTATTTGGATATTTCTCTTTATAGAGGTGAAACCAAATAAATTAAAACCAATATTCATAGGCACTAACTACCCCAGTATTGTCTTATTTTAAAGCTTTAAAATATTCTGCTCATAGAAGACACAATACTGATTTATCCATTCAAACACTATAAAAGCAGTTGGGACCTCACCAGTTTTTATTTTACTTTGTAACAACTAGACCTAATTACTTCTCCGAGTCACCACTGGAAAACACGGCTACTATAATGCCTTTTAATCAGGTAGACAGAACATAAAAACCAGCACCCCTCAGAGATTAACAATAAACACAAATTTTAAATTCCTTTAGTCAAGTCTCTTGGTAGTTTAAAATGTCTTTATGCTCTTAAAAAGACAGCATTTTTAGTCTGTTGCAGCAACAGGAGTAAAACAACCCCAGAAAACTACTTGTTTAGTTTTGCCATTTTGCGTTTCAGTTATGAACAAACATTAACTTCTTAAGATCTAAAAGCATAATGTACTATACATATTGTGTCATAAGTATTCTAGCAATATTTTGTAGATTTAGAAATAAAATTCAGATCACACTGTATGCAATGATATTTAAGGCTTATGGAGTACATTGTGATAATAATCTTGAATGTATATTTTTCCTATGGAGTATTCCATGTAAAGAAGTACAGTTTTTCATTTAAATTCGTTGATAGTTCATTTATAACCCAGGATAATGAGAAAAAGATCAATCAATATACTGTATCACTTAAAATGGCCACGGTAACATGATTAATGTCACTTAAAACTTAGTTTGATATTATTAATGAAAACAGGTAAAACATTTGCAAGTGTAGAGACCACTTTAGTAGATAAATTCAGCAAACAATCTTGACAAACATTACCTCAAACATCAGTGATCTGAAAATGTTTTCAGTCCTGTTCAAAGAGTATTCTTGGTATCCTAAGAGAAATAATATGAAACGGTTAATATGAGGGGTCAAGAAAGAATAACTAAAATCCAATATGCAATATTAAGTTGAAAATGAATTTGAGTATCTATAACTGAGTTCTACAAGATATTTGTATGCACTTCAAATTGCTTTTGGAAAAACTAATACATTTTCAAACACCCTCAACAATTTGAACAGCAGTGAAATTCCAACATCCTAAATGGTTAAGCCAAGTGTTACAAAATTCTTCTTCATTAAAAAGGTTTAAATAAACACCATTTAACATCCTAAGGGCATGCATACCAGTAACATTACTAGACAGGCTAAAGCCAGTGTTATATTTCTGCTCCTAAACTAAACAGATCAATTGTAGCTACTGAGTTTTTTTTATCATTCCATTAGTGCAAATGTTTCATTTGTTCCTTCTCCCAAACATTCATTAGACTAAGAAGTACACATCTGAAATACTATAATGTTAATTCAAGTATCTTTATTAACCAAGAATATATATATAAGAAAGCAGGATGGCAAGGTGGTGCAGAGGTTACCATTCCTGTCTTGCAGCACTGTGGCCCTGGGTTCGGTTTCCTGGAGTGCTTTTTCTGTGTTGTTTCCATGTTCACATGAGTTTCCTGCAGGTGCTGTTATACTTCCACAGTCTAAAGACATGCTGGTAGGTTAATCAGATTCTGGGAAAGCTGGCCCTGGTGTGAATGTATATACGTCTGTATTTGCCCTGCAATGGACTTGTGCCTGTTGCATGCTGGGATAGGCTCTGGTACCCCTGCAACCCTGAATTGGATGACATGGTTAGAAAATGGGTGGATATTAAACAAAGCGGTACAGATGAAATATTTTCTTTGGAAATGGGTGTATGGTTATGAAATGGTCAGATACAGCATTTATTATTTTTAATGTGAATGCATCCAATGCAAAAATCCTGATTTATGCAGATAAATTTTGGTGCAGGGAGGATCACTGATCTTTGAAATTCCAACAAAAGTATAACCCCCTGCTATGGAAACAGACCTCTTCTCCATTCAAAATCCCCCTCAAAGAACATCCTCCAATTTCCCCACTATTAGAACTCAGATGATCTGTTTGGTATAACCATGACAAGATTTATAGCAGCTAAAGAAACTGGGTTATATTTTTTATAATGCAGAATAGATGTTCAGTAATAAATTAAAGAAAAAACATCAGTCAATATATATTATTTAAAATGTATTCTTATTAGCGATTAACAATCGAGAAATGAATTAGAGCCAGTTATTTGACTAAATAAATGCTAAGAATACACATGTGACGTTGTTCACATTCTTACTAACGATGTAACATGCCAGGGTGTACAATACCACGCCAGCAGCTATATCACCCTGCAAATCAGGTGTAAGCCTGTCCAGTACCTGGATGGGAGATCTCCTGGGAAAGCTAGTTGCTGCTGGAAGAGGTGTTAGTGGGACTAGTAGAAAGCTCTCACCCTGCAGCATTTGTTGGTCCTAATGCCCCAGTATGATGATGAGGATACTATACTATAAAAAGGCACCATCCTTCATGACCATCCTACATAGCCTCCTTATAATCCCCAACTATGAATTGGTTTTATCACCCTGTTCTTCTCTCCATTGCATCATCCAGTTGATTGCGATTTTAGTAGACTGTCTAGAAAAGCGCTATCAAATTAAAGGAATTATTAATACAGAGAATCCTTATCAAAGAAAAGCAAAATATAACCAATGAAAAATACTTCGCGACTACCAGTAATTAAGCAACTGAAATGCACTCTTTTACAGTCGTATGTTATTAAAACTAGAAAATAAAGTGCAACACCAAGCAAAATCAATTGTTCAAATGCTATTTATTGTTGACAAGAACTGTATTTTCTCTTTACTTAGAGGTAAACACAAACAGCTTATATCTAGAGGTAGAAACACAATGTAGTCTACAGAAATACCAGGCTGCAAGGATATAAATCAATACAGCAGGTTCACACAAAAAAGAAAATACTGTTTTTTTAAACATCATGCTTTTAATAGTTTTTAAGAATACATTTCCTCACGTAGCAATTGCATTGACAGAATGCGAGCTCCTGTGAATGCCCAGCAACAATTACTCAGCTCACAGAAATGAATAGGACCTGGTGGAACCTGTAAAAGTTTATTTCATGGCTTTGATAGTTTTTTTAAATATTACTTACAGTTTATACACTTTGATAACATAGGATATACTCTATTAAATGTACAGGATGCATTTTTTTAAAGTTAGACTAAATGTAATGGCTCTATATATTCTTGAGAGCTTTGAAAAGAATCACGAGACAATGAACCAGTCTCATCTTATTGCCTTCTCTGAGACTTTCTTATATATGCAACAGGAAAAGTAAACAAAACAGTCTAATTTATTATATTTACCATCTTTGAAGAAACCTTATGATAAAGGGCTCACAAAAAATGACAAATGAGGGAAAGTACAAGTATTGACACTACAATGATACCAAATCCACTGTATAGCACGCTTGAAACCAATAACAAAATGTAACGCAGGAAATAGCAAAAAGCTATTCAAAAACTGTCCCACCCAGGTCTGAAACATTTTATTTTATATACTTCCTGGACCTAAAATGCCTTGATAAAAGGTTGAACATTATTAGTGTTAAATGATTAACAAGCTCATAACACTTGAACAATAAAAAGGTATTTTATTTGGTAACTAATTGTTTCAACAAAATAATATAAATTAAACCTACCTTTAATATAACTAATATTCTGCTAGAAGGTAAACAAATATGATATTTCACTACAGGCTACAATTTGGTGCACATGGTGAAAGGAAATCAAGTGACAAATTGTAAGTAATATCCATGATTAATTTGCATTCTTCTGTTATCAAAGCCCTTAATTCTTCTTCTTTTGAGAAAAAGAGGGCTATGATGTTCTTATTTATTAATCCACGGGATATCAAGACATCTAGAAATGAAGGCATACATATCAGCCACCTCCTGTATGACCTTGCTGGTTGGCTTTCCTGCACCATGCCCAGATTTGGTATCTACATGAATGAACAAGGGATTGGTCTGTTTGGGATTCTGGCTGACCATGTACTGCAAGGTAGCGATGTATTTCAAGGAGTGCAGTGGCACCACTCTGTCATCGTGATCTGCAGTGAGCAACAGCACAGCTGGGTACTGCACTCCATTTTCTTCTGGGACCTTGATATTATGGAGAGGGGAGTACCTGCAAAAAGAAAAGCATGGTTTTAACTCGGGGAGTTTTGCTTTTTTCACAGTTTTAAAAAATGAGCACAGAATTTCAGTGACAAATTACTATTTAGCATTTCATTTCTCACTTTCCTGTCACGTATAGTAATTTTTCCTATAAATGTACATTTTTGCAATAATTCATCAACATTCTGAACAGGAATTAAAAAAATATTTTTAAACATTTAAAAAACTGATATTGGTTATAGTTTTTAAATTTTTCACTCATGGTTAGATCCAAAAGAGTAGTTAGATCTACTCTTTAATTTATAGTCTATATTATAAGTAAAAACTAAACCTAAGAACACTGCACATGCAGTAATGACTTTTATAGTTTCCATCCATTTTAACAATATTACAATAAACTCTTAAATTATATGACATTTTATTTACTTTAAAATTATATTCTACAGTGAATTTTACTGAAGAATACTTAAAACCTATTTCACCTAAATGGAAAGATTTAACCTAAATATAATGATTCTGAGAAAGAGTTCAATACAGTGTACAGTATGGAGCAAAGCCACCAGTAAAGTATTTGCAGGTCTGAAATAAATGCAATCCTTTACTATTTTACCAACAGATTTTCTTCAACATCTCTTATGGCATATAATTTCGGTATTTAGCTAACTTACTTGATTAACCATTCATACTGTTCTTTTATCTCAGAACACCCAAAATCAGTGGTCCAGGCATGACCTATAGTAAACTTGTGAAACTTCAGCATATCCATAACTCCAACCTGAGCAACAGCACAGCCAAATAAGTCGGGTCGCTGATTCACACACGCAGCTAAAAGAACAAAGAGAATTGTAGAAATGTCAGAAAAACACATATGTAAAATAAAGTTATTTGAGTATATTTATTTTTAAATAAAGTATTTATTAAGTATTGTGGTTTAACATAAGATCAATGCATATACAGTACAGTAATTATGCTATTTCTGCTTTTATGAAAATGACTGAGGAACATATGGGACGCTGAGCATATAAACCTAAGGGTATCAAAATCATTTATTTAACTGAATTCAGTTTTTTGCATTTACTTTGTGAAGGCAGTGTGATTTTGTCAATATAGAAGTTTTGTTTATGAGGAGACATTCACAGCAATCATTAAAACTGTGTTAATTTGACTAGATTCCTGATCTCAAGATGTACCATGGTTCATTATTTTTTAAATGAAAAGATATGATCACAAAAAATCAACTTTTTCTTTAGAGGTTTAGTCTGCATGTTTTATTGGTAAAAATGACTTGAGAGAGAATGACTGAGAGAGAATCTGTAACTTAAATTGTTGTTTCCTTAAACAATTCTTAAGTCAAAACTTAGATTCAAACTTAGATTGAAACAGCTTTGATAACCTGAATCAACAACATACCCACTAAAAGGCCACCATTGGAGCCTCCATTAATGGTTAGTTTGGAAGAAGATGTGTAGCCCTGTTTCACAAGGTATTCAGCAGCACATTGGAAATCATTAAAACAGTTTTGTTTTTGCGCCAACATTCCACCTGTAACAACAATCAATGCATAATGAAACAGTAACAGCATATAAAACTCAGTTTTGTCATTGTTTTACTCTCCATTCATTCAATACAATAGCATGAAGAGATTTCTAGCACTTGTTGAGCAAATAAGCCTTTTGAGGAAAATTACATTTAGACGTTGTTACACACTTATTGTAAATAAGTAGCTGTCTTTTTAGATGTGTAGAATTTGGAATAAAAGTCAGGTTAATATTCATAAAGAGAACACTTGCCATGTTGGCACTGGTGTTTAATGTGACAGTATTTCATCAAGAGTAAAAGAAAAAACATTAACAGCACCAAAACTAAAATTAACTGTGATATTAGAATAATGTGCTGCAGGACACCTACTTCTACACTGCAAATGTTCTGTGTTGTGATGTGGGCAAGTTGTAACCAACACAATCATTGCTGTCAGAGAGGGAAATTGGAAAGATAATTATTCTTCATTGTGGAAGAGACACAAAAATGAAAAGATTATTCTTATGGGTCTGGGTGTGGAAGACAATGAATCTTTTTCCGTGGTTTTGGACAATAATGAAGGTGTCCGACAGCGACACTGACCGAGGGTTTTAGTGTTTATCATGAGCTAAACTGATGAGCATAGTACATTTAATCTACTCTGATTTATACTCTATTTTTCATTCCTCAATTTCAGTAAAAGATAGAAGTAGACTGGTATGCTATTTTATTACAAACTAAGAGGCATTGTAAATGCAACAAAAGAGTACTGGATCCAGAGCCTCACAGAATATTTTTAATGTAAGATTTACAAATAAAATGTGACATTATAGTTGTCAAAAGCATGGCAGTAGCAACAATACAGGATCTTCACAGAGCGAGCACCCCATCAGAAATGTATGATTCGCATTTTATCTTGAATATCATCTAAGTTCCTGTGTCTTTATTTTTTTAATAATTTCACTGCTCAAATATCCTTGGCATTTGTTTGCATTTTTGACTGGTTTTTTCAACTCCATTTCTTTCATCCTAATCCAATGGTAAAGGTACATTTCCATTAGTAACTGATTAAATTAATGATTAGATTCCTTCTCTTAATATTTTGATAAGATGCAAAGTTATTGAGTGTGAAACAACTGAGTGAAGGCTCTGGTCCTTAGTGATTCATTTATAACTGTAAATCTTTCATTAAACCATAATTATTACTTTTAAAGTGATCTATGTGTTCTAAGATATTTTTTTTTTAAAAGCAAATCGCTAACAATTATGTGAGAGACTATAACAGCTAGATGGGGGGTGGTCAACATTTGCAGTTCCCGGGAGCTTCAAAGCAAGAAAGGGACTGGCATGTGTACTGAGGAGAGGAAGAAAAAGGAGAGAAAGACCCAAGGAGTGACAGGAAACAGTGCCAGACAGGAGGTCCTTGTTCTAATAAGCCTTTAAGACCAGATCCGAGTTTAGTACCTGAACTTTGTTAAAAAAGCTAGCCATTCTGTTTTTTTAGGAAGCTCTGATTTCCTGTATAGAGTATTGCTAGGTTACAAATGGTCTCTGCTGGGTAGTAGATGCGTTTTAAGAACAGGGAAGTACAGTAGTTTCCAATTCATTAAGTAGCATCAATATTGACAGATTTAACTGTAGGTTGTTTTCTGTTTGGTTTATAAGGCTTGAGGTTTGCCTCTTTTTGGCTTGTTATGCTTGGATAATTGTGTTTATTTTTGGTTGGTCAAGAAGTAGGCTTCTGAGGCACCTTGTGTTTAAATAGAGCAACTTATACAGTATGTGGTATGTTTATATTGTGTGTTGTTTAGTGTGTCATTGTCATTATTAATAAGTATTTGTTGCACACCCTCCCCCCAAAGGTCAATCCCCCTCCCCCTAGGTCAATGTCCTCCTGGAATGTATCCTTAAATATCCTGAATTATCTTGGAAAGTAGACACAGAACAGGCTTGGCTAGGGTCTTTAATTAAAGGGCATCTTGGAAATCCTGTCCCAACCTTCAGATTATTTATGTCTTACTCGGTACTCCCATTAGAAATATCCAGAACAAAAACAGGAAAAAACAACAAAAGCATGGCATTGCCCTTCTTCAAAAGTCAAGTCCTGTCACATATCCATCTTTCCATGTCTTCTCTGTCTACTGCCTTGGATAACAACTTGAAAGTAATTGAACAAATCTAAAAAATAACTGCATGCATTTGTTGTTGTTTTTTCTATTGTTTTGACTTCTAGCAGTGCTAGAGAGCCTATTTATGTTGAAAAAAGTGTATTTTTGCACTTTCTGTACACTTATGGTGTGTATAAAAGATTAACAAAAAGGCTATATGAGCTTTTAATTTCACTGACAGAAAAAAGAAAAAAAAAACAGAAAAATGGCAATAGGGATGAATGCTATGGACCTCCCTAAGTCTCTGAATGGTCAGAATTTGCTGAACAACAGCTATTTTTATTAGATAATCTTTAATCATTATCTTCTTTCCCAAAGTAGGGGACAAAGGTTTTTTGTATTTTTGGCAAATTTTAGCTTTTGTGATTGAATTTTCCTGGAGAATTGATATATTGGTGCTTCTCTAAACTGAACTGTCAGATAAATATTGCTATGAAAAAATATTAATTTGCTTTATGCCGTTGTATCTAGTTGCGAACCACACTGCTAAAACATTTAGGCTTGTGTCTGCTGACAGATAGTTTGTGGTGTGGTTTTGATTTTGCAGGTAAAAACATAATTCATCCTTTGTAATAGTAATATTTGCTAGCCATGCAAAAAATGAAATGCTCAGAATGTCTCATCCATAAAATGTTTGACTGTTAGTACAAATCAAAGATAAGGGGTCCATAGTGAAATTCCAAATTCACAGAACAAAAAAGAGATACAGTACCTCAAAGACTTCATGTAGTTGAAAATAAAAACAGTAGTATAACGTTACAATTACCTAATGTATACACAGTAGATGGAAGTGGTTTACAGTAGATGGAACTACTGTAAGCAACTAAAATATTACAAGTGGATGTTTTGGATACATTTTATAAAACAAAACTTTTATTGTCCTTATAGTGTTAATGGACAGTGGACTGTAATATAGCACGCTGCACCCAGGCAGTTAAAAGCCCGTTCAGAGAATTACTTTCTTACATAGCCGAATATATAAAAATCAACCATTATTATAGCTTGTTGTGAAAGCGATGTGCCTCTTTCAGGTTTACATTCGAATTGACAAAATCTATATTTTTTGTTTATGTGGCCACTTAGAAACATAACAGCTTAAAATGTTTCAAAAGGAATCATGAGAGAATGAGTCAATAAAAAATAAAACATGTTTACAAAGAAAGTGGACTACGGTAATACTACCAGCTATATAAATGTTATATTTAGATCCTTAAACTAATATTATTAATTTCTTTATATTCCATATTATATTTCCTATTTAGCAGATTATAAAAAGTACACATTTTATCTACTGAAATAACGACAGCAAGTATTCATAGAAAAGGTTAAAACATTATAGCTTTTTACAAAGTATATATACTTAATATAGTCAGAACAAGCACGTCACCTTTTCCAAAAGAAACATTTTATGCATCAGTCTTTAATTCAGTCACTTACTACGGTTAAGAAGAAAGTGGAATACTGTTGTGTACCTTTTATTTAAGCTACCACTACCAGCCATATACAGTATGTATAATATATTTACATTCCTAAATTAATATAGTTTATGATGATATGATGTTCAGAGGTGCTAGGCTCCTGTTTATTTTTATGCTCAGCTACAAACATTTCAGTTTAGTTGTAAAATTCCATATTAATATTCCATATTAAGCATATTTAAACATGCACAGTATGTAGATTAAATGAAGCAATCATTTCCCTAACATCTAATGCACCACAGGTGCTGTCTGTCGATCATCTTCGGCAAGTGAATCACATACCGTGGCCATCTGCGCCACAGTACGAGATTTTTCCGCGTATTTTGAATGGCTTCATTCACGTGCTAATTGAAGCTGTGCTAAATATACACTCATGTAACTTAGAGGCATGTACTGTACCCCTGCAAATGCTTTCAATTGCACTAACCTTTATGAATACAAACGTACTTATGGTTGTTACACGTCTAATGAGATCTTGTTTATAAGTCCTTCTAGGATACTTATTACATTTTTGTGAATGACACTTTGACAAATGTCCCTCCTCAGCCATCCTAACAGAGCCAGCATGCCTCCTTAGTTTTTTCATGTATCGAGAGGCCTGTCCTGTTCTTCTATGCTGGTCTTACCTTAGCTAACACTACTCTTATTCAAGCCCATCTTTCTATCATTCACTAATCTCTATCCACCCAGTCACTGGAGTATTTAACCTGAAGTCTGTGCTGCCAAAATCACATTCTTCACTAGTCACTATTTACTTTAACACTGACTTTCGCAGCTGATCCTGTGTGAGCAGGAATGCCTTTCGGTAAACAAACCCAAACCGCATTTACCCACTGGTTGGTCTTCTTAATTAAGAAGAGTGGCTAATTCCATGCAGATCTTGACAGCTCTTTTCCTTTACATGGAATCTCACTCCCTCTGAGTGTCAATTACTCATTCAGACCAGCTGTGCCTCATTCTGGAGGGATTCCCAATTAACAGGTGGCCATCTTGGTTTAAAGCCACAATACAGGGTCTGAGCACTGAGCCAAGATGGTGGCTTTCTCACAAAGCTGTCTCACAGCCTCACAGAGACTTATCACCTTTGATGATAGGGTAAAAAACTGATACTTCAAGCTGAAAGCTGAGGTATTCCCACTTTTAATAAATATATTTTTTAATTACTAACGGCAAAACACAAACATGGCTAATTACCTTTGTGCCAGGTTTCTCCATATTCTCCACCTCCTCTGATATTAGCAATCGCTAAGACCCCACCCAGGTGTCTCACAAAGATAAGCCTTGAAACACTGAAATGAACAGAAAACATATTATTTCAAATCAATCTGGTGGTATATTTGAAATGTAGGTACACTTAACAACATAAAACCATGTTATTAAGACAAGGGAAGAAAAACGATAACAATAGCAGATGGTATGTTTATTTTCCACCCACTCCACGAGTTGCATAGAGGTTTCACGCTAAGTTTTTATTCACGTCACAAGAGCAAAACTACAAGCTCAACAAGGTTTATTTTCTTTTAACGGTTAACAGGTATATATGCTAATCTCGAAGGTGGGTAGAGAGCAAGAGTGAGAGAATGTACCAGCAGCTAGCAGTCCATGAGGCAAAGAGAACAATGAAAGGAAATGTCTCCTCTTTATATAGGGAAGAAAAATGTAATAACCATGAATGGAAAAAAAAAAACATTTCAAAACCCTATAATTTGAATAATTATATTTTTAAGTTTGCTTTATTTGCTGTTTAGTTTTAGTAAATAAGAGAAAATGACCTTTTAATTTATAAATACTTTGCATTTCTTTACCCTACACTGTACTCATCAGTAAATAAAAATAATATTGGTTGCTTCCAAGACACGACAGCAATGTATGTTACTCACACATTTAAAAGAAAAGGTGTGATATATGTATAGGTTGCTACTTTGCGCAAAAGCAAAACAAAACTGAAGTATAAAACAGAGCCCTAATGAATGCTGCTAGAGAATGCATTAGGTTTACTCTGCATTATTCATCCATGGAAGGAACATGCTACACCACTTGCTTTCTATGCATGTAATGTAAACTCTCCTTAACTTGAAAACTTTATGTAACCCATGGGAGTTTATTTTACCTAAAGTTGAATTTATGTAAGCAGTCTTGAGTAACGCATGGAGAGAAATTTGATCTTTTACATAATGTCACAGACATATAAATATACTTAAAGTAATAATGCTGAAAAGTTTTACTTCACAAAAGACAGAGAACCAGTATATGATAATTGTCTGTGAAATATATATTTCATTTTCCTCCAGCATTATAACCAACTTGCAGGACATTAAATGAGATCAGCACTGATGAAAAAGAAATACTTCAACAAAAACAAATAGAGCACAGAACATTTTAAATCCTGTCTCTCAATTCCTTTAAGATAACATAAAAAGCAATAAGAAAGATGAACTGATTAAAGGTAGCATCACATTCAGAATGAAAAAAGGTGGTAAATGTGATAAGGTTTGATAAATTAGTTTCAGTTCCTAAACTTAAAAAGTAGCAATAATTGTATTTGAAATATATTTAAACAAGTACAATATTAATGTTGAAGTACAGAATTCATGCTTAGGCAGGGAAACAGACAAAATGGTTTCAGACTATTATTGAAAACAATGTCCAAAAGGCATTTCACTCTTTAAATGATTAGCAATATGTAATACTATGAGAATTAATAATACAAAACAATTTCACAATTCCCAGCATTTTAAACTATAACAATGAACCATGCTTGAATTACAGGGATAATGTACAATCATTCTAAAATACTGATGCATATTTTAATCCGAACACAAAATGGTATCATGAAAGGCAGTTGTAGAATCCTTGCTTCCTGACCCTCTGAGACTTGTGAGTTAAAATATGCTATGTTTCGCTGTCCCATTCTAAAAGGTTTCCCTCTAGGATTTCCTAACAGTAAAGGTGACATTGTGTTTCAGGACTGCTGAGCAAACTACATTACCATGAACAGCTGGAGGACAAATGTAGGACAAACAGACAGGATTATTATAATGTTTTTTTTTTCTCAAGAATAGCACAGATTTTTCTCTATTATTAGGAAAGTTTATGGGATGTTTTAGTGTGCTCCAAATTAAATTGTTACTTCACGTCATTTACAATAATAGCACATTTAATTTGACCTTGATTAAAAAAAAACTTTACTATAATTAAAATGAATAATATTAATCAAATATAAATTAATTTTATAAGTAAATGAAGAATTTAATAATCATCTAATTGTTTCTTTCCTGCAAAGCAGCTATGTGGACAGAAAAATAGTTCTTACCTGTAACTGGGAGTAATGGATATATTGAATCCTCCATAACCATAAAGGAGTGCTGGATGAGAACTATCCATATTAATTCCCTTCTTATGGACAATAAACATGGGTATCTGAGTTCCATCTTTGCTGGGGTAGAACACCTAAATATACAACATATTTAAAGGTTGTAAATCATTGTTACAAATACTGCTCTAATAAATATTTCAGTATGTACATGATTTAATAAACATATGGAATGTTTTGATGTTTTTTTTCAACTCAGTTAAATTATTTAATACACAGTGAGGAGTATACTCAGAAGAAATTTTGTTTGCACAAAGCAGACAAAGTATTTTTATGAAGACTGAAGCTTGCATTTAAATGTGAAAAAAAACATTTCAAAGAGCTAAAGCAAATAAGTAATTAGCACTCACACCGGTCTCACATTAAATGAAAACTTAGATCTGCCAATAGGAAATTCTATGCAAGTCTCTGAAGATAAAATAAACATTCTGTATGTCAGGGCGTTAAGCTCCTGTCTTCAAGAACTGTGTTTGGAATATCTGACTGACAGGTGTGTCTGAGTTTTGATTTAACCCACACCCTGATACACTTTAGGCAACGGGTATTAAAACTATGTTTCTTCTGTTTCTCAGTGTTCTTAAATATACCCATCATCTACTATTTTGAGAGTTGTTGGTGACAATCTCATTCTCTCAGACACACAGCCACAGCCTCTAGCAAGGAACAGTTTCATTATAGCCAATAACATGCTTTTCTTCTATCTTGCAGATTAAGAGGCTCTGAGCCAAATCCAGAAGAGGAAGGAATGCCCGATAGGCATGGCTGCAATGCCAGACGATGGCTAATTTTAGCAGTTTACACTTGGCTTTATAGTGGCTAAATGAAAATGTCCATCTTCCAAAGACTACAATGTTCAATGCATGGCATTTATCACCTTCTCTTAAGCCAGTAGAGAGTGAAATGGAACAGGAACAATTCGATTGAATTATGAAATGGAACAGAAACAATTTGATTGAATTGTGAAATGGAACAGGAACAATTAGATTGCTGGGAAACAATTATATTTTCAAAAAGTAATTTTGCATTTCATAGTTAAAACATGTTGCTTCAATGATTCTCATCACATTTTAAACCCTCAACAAATGCAAAGCTTGTTTCAAACCATTTTTCCCCAATCCCTTGAATAAATTTCAGGTGGTCTGACACGGTAACTTCTCAAATTTGGTAAAGCTGTTTTTTATGATTTTTTACAAGACTGAATATTGTTAACAAAATAAATAGCTTTAATTGCTATATATTTACAAGATATATACAGTACATAGTCTGTCTTTTCTCCCATTCTATCTGAATCTTATAGGCGACAATATACAACTCTATATTATAATGCAAATCAAATGCATTTTGAAAAGGGCTAACTGTGCTTTTTACTGTCTTAATCTTCCCACTGAAAGACGCAGAACGGTAACCTAAAATACCAAAATAACATGATTTTGTTTTTGAGCTGAAAGGCAACACAGTAAATTTAGTATGTCCATTTGAGGAGTAAGAGAAATCCAAATATAAATGTGGTTCTCCTTTTGAAAAAGGGCAGGAACCACCGTTATATACATTTTTATGCACCTCTTGCAATTCAGGGTGACTGCACTTTTAAATACAACATTTCTGAACACTTGAGAAACACGCTAATACCCTAATCCTGTTCAGTTTAAGTCCATATAGATATAGATTTTAACTAAGGACATAAGAAAGTTTGAAATAAAAGGAGTCTATCTAGTCAGTAGTGAACTGATCCAAGGATCTCACCCAGACGTTTCTTGAATGAAGCCATGATCGGCTTCAACAACATTGCTGGGTAGCTGGTTTCATACATCCATAACTTTATGGGTAAAGAAGTGCCTCCTGTTTGTGGTTATATCATATATACCATTAGTTTTTCAAGCTAACACTTAGAATATATTGTTGTCACTATTCTCTACTCATTGCTGAGTTCAAAATAAGTGTCCTCAGATTTTCAGTTAGTTCGCATGTTCCTAATGACCGTTTTTCCAAATAAAGGCTTCTTTGAAGAATACAGATTACTTAAAGAGATATCTAATCAATAACAGATAGTAATTCGTTTTCACTCATTACAAAATGTGTCAGACGTTATTTCACATCATCTTTGTCTAAAAAAACTAAATTTGCAGGGTTTTAGAAAGAGAACACTATTTTTAGTCACTTATTATACTGATGTAGGGACATGATGGCAAAAAAAATCTGATAAAGATTTCATAAGTTGGCAAATGCATTTTAAGGAAGACATTAAAAATACTTCATGATGTGCTATGTCTATATTGACTATCTGTCATAATAAATCATTTAGATAAAAATCACAGCTTTCCAAATAATGAATACACCTTTTTCATATTAACACTGACTACTCTGAGTGTAATACAGTCATTAAGAAGTGGGTGAGATACTTATAATGTCCTCATAAATTACTTCATATTATTAAATAGCCAACTTTATTGAGTTCCAATAGAATCTTCTGAAGTGAAATGTGATCATACCTGTAAGCATGCAATTTTCCCAATCGTCAACTATCATTACTAATAGTGCTAACCAAAAAGTGCACTGAGCTGTCAGACTATACTCCACAATAAGAAGGTTTATTGTATTTTCTAAGTTATTACCTGTGGTACGTGAAGGTCTCACACACTTCTATAACAGCACTATCAGAACAAACTCTGAACCTACTAAAGGTAACAACATACAGAAATATTTTCACCGTCAATCCAAATTAGAACAAGACAGATAATGCAATTTTTTTATACAGTACTTAGCACCACTTTACAACCATTCCAACGTCATAGGAGATGTTCCAAGCAATTCTGTTCCGTGTTTGGCTTGCATTTTTGTTATTTAAGTGTATATTGGAGCCTAATGGCAAGTGAAATAAATAATAGTTCCAATGATGATTAATCCCACCATGTGCAGGTGGATGCTGCACATTGTTGGTGGTGGAGGGGAGTCCCCAGCGCTTTGAGTGGAGTGTCCAGAAAAGCGCTATATAAGTGTAAGCAATTATTATAATTATTATTATTTAATTAGAATTGTTTAAGACCTTCAATCACAAAACTGAACTTCTCCATCATATGTAAGTGAAAGGTGCAAATACACACCTTAGAATACACATGCTTAAAATACAGTTAAATTATAACTAAAATGTAAAGTGGTTGAGTAAACCAGAAAAGTTCAAGTTCAAAATAACTTTTATCAGTGTGGAATATTACATTGTGTTAAACTGGGTTTGTTCACCTAGTTAAAGGGAGGAGAAAAGCTGGTTTGAACATAATCCAACATTGTTCTGAGACACCAAATATCACCTAGAATACGGTCTCAGGCCTTGTGACCTATATCAGCTACTAGTACACTTAATGTGTTCAGGTTTGAATAATATGAGACATTTAATGTTTGAAAGTTCAAAGAAATCCAGGTCAAAATGGAAAATGGTGGGTTTATTCACCAATAACTGTGATATGTACCTTCTTTAGTTTCTTTCAGATCTTTTAAAGTTTTATTGTAGAAAAATGCTTTAAAGAAAATAGGCCACATTTCGCTCCTGATAAATGTACTGCATTCAATAACATTTTAAATTGCATGTTTCATTTCAAGACATTTCAAAGTACTATACAGTGAATTTAAAAAATCAATGTTTCATAAGCAAAAAACAGCATTTCTTTATTGAAAGTGAGAGACGGGAGGCTTGTACAGTCTAAAGTCTTGTCATTGGGACATGCAGCAAACCAGAATTTTAAGAGCTGAGCTGTCACGACAGAGTGTAATAGCTCAGCAAAACACTGATGGCCCTGACTGTTGAGTGTTTTGTAGTTTAGAAGAAGGGGTTTGATGTCAATGAAATACAACACTGGGAACCAATGTAGGAAGTCAAGAATAGGGAACATATATGGGAGACATGGACTTGATAAAGATTCTAGTAGATGACTTTTGAAGATAGTAAAGTCTGTTTATAATGTGCTTAGAAGCAACAGCAAACAGTGCATTACAGTGTAGGCTAATCTAGAGAAAAACCAGCATGCACCTGTTTCTTACAATCTGATTGGGACTGTTTGTATACGGGCAATATTACAAGTTAAAAAAGAATACTCTTATAAGAATTCTGACATGACTCTCCAAAGACATATTTAGAATACTAGTATTTTTCCCTTGTACTGTATATCTGATTTAATCTCCAAGTCAACAATGATCATGTCAAAGTATCCATGCTAAGCTGTTTGTGTGGCCTTGATACTTAACTACTTATACTTATCAATAGAGACTAAAAATCTCTATTAACATTTAATTCAGTCATAAATTAACATTAAATAGATGTAAATTCATTTACATTATGTGAATTTACATCCTTGATAGACTAGAGATTTGCTTCAAATCTTAGAGATCTGTTCAACATTTCACTTTGTAATTACACTAAACACAACCAAAATTTCAAAATTTTTGTTTTAATAGTCTGAAGGTCATGCTAAAGTGCAGTACACACCAATTATCTTCTATCACAGTAGCTATCAAGGCAAACTCTTAGCAATCTCTGTTCTTTGGAAGTGCTATTTTGGTCTTTTCAGATCAATAGGTATAAACTGTTCCTGCTGAACTGCTGAAGCTACAAAGTGGCAAAAAACGCACACCCCAATGCTCATCCTAATTCGCATCAGTGGAAGCAGCAGGGTGCTCCTTCTTAGCTAGTTGGAAAACCTTATCTGCTTTATGTGAAGTGCAAACACTAGAAAAGAAAAATTATAATTAAGGCATCAATAGAAGAACTCTTCCTCTCTTAAAAAACACAAAAGAAGATAAAGATCACAGCTTGAAACAATATTTGATTTGCAAAAAGAAGAACACCTGCTTTGTCTTTTGGAGATAAGCAATGTAACACATTATGGACTCTGCTGCAGATGTGAAACGTCTATAAATTATCTTTCAAATGAAGCCTAAGCAGGTTATGTCAACTAAAAGATTCAAATGCATTCACTGACATTAAAAGGGTCATTGACTTGTTTAATCCTGACAATTACAAAAAATGATTAAACCAAAGTCCTTGCTGTGATGCACTGCTACTCTATTTTTCAAAATACTCACATTTAATATTGATAGAGTGAGAGGGTTACCCAGCAGGATTCTTGACATGCCCTCACTACCTTGGCTTTCATATAATAAATGGCAAAAATATTTAACAGATAACAGACTGAAAAGAATTGCAAGGCACAATAAGATGACTTTCAGTCATTTCAAAGCTAAAGGCATTATATCTGTGGTTTAAACAATTGCCCTTTTCAGTTCCCATTTTTATCCATAACTCCTTACCTTCAAGATTGTGTAAAAAAAAAGAATAAATAGGAAAACTATTCAGGAAGTGTAGTTTCCAATCATGTAAGGCTTCTATGACTGAGCCTGTGTACACAGACAGTACAGATGCAGCACAATTATATAATTTTGATTTTGTAACATATATAGTGCTTCATTAAAAAAAAGAATAGCGATCATACAATAAATAAAACAAATACTGGCATGCAATGAAAATTTTGGAAAAAGGAGTTTATGCCAGATGAACAGGAGCACAGTACACATTTTGCCATTTTGCCTTGTAAAGTTTTTTTCATTTTGTTGGTTTAAACTTCACAGTCATGACGCTTTGAAGTAGCAATCAATACTGGTTATATTTACTCCTTCCTACTTATCCACGATTTGTTAATCTGCAGTGTCGCACATTTGTAGTGTCAATCCAAGCCTGACATGAGCAGCATATCTGAAACTGAAAATGTTTTCCAGTAAGTGGCTCTAGCTTCTCAAACCATTGGTAAGTCTCAATTCAAAATAGAGAGGGAAAATATCTCCACTGCATTATCCATGGCATCACTTTCCAGTTCTTTATCTGCTCCGCCTCAGTACTGTTTGCTCACAGTCCTTTGTTGCCTCTTGTCGGGATTTTGCCTTTAACTCCTTTTACACACGCCAAACCATAAATCAAAACAAGCCACAAATCATTGCCATCAGATTTTTTTAGAGGCAGAACGAACACATTGCCATGCATATTCATGTACGGTACTATAGTCTCATCACATCTTCCTAAGGATTATGGCACTTAATAACAAGCATAATGTATATGTATTATGTTCATTTCTTTAATATCACTTTTTTCACAGAAAAGTTGTTGCACTATATTTTCTCTTGTGTTCTTTAATTATTTGGCATATTTATGTTGATAAACATTGGTATTGGTATACCTGTAAACAGTAAATTCTGCTGTTACATGATAGTTGTGTTCCTGGAAAACACTGTTATAATGTACAATGTGTAAATCACAATATAGAAATGTTAAGGGTTAAGGGGTAGAGAGTTCAGATTCACAATATCTAAGGTATTTTTTTCTATAATAATTGGCCATATTATTATTTGAATGTATTATTTCTGCACAATAAGCATTTTTTGTTATCATTTTAAACACAGTGAAAAACAGTGAATAACCGAGCACAGATACACAACTGACACAGAGTGAGAGAACCGTGTTGCTGACTGAGGCCATAGCTCAACCATTTTTAAACACTCATATGACTAGTTCCAGTATACTTAAGGGGCGGTACAGCCTAAGAGAAACTGCTTTATGGCAGAAGCATCCCCTAATAAATTAATTGCGTAAGACCCAGTTCATGTTAAGTAAACTTGTGTAATAGCAGAAATGACTGAGTATAGTTTAACAATTCTTTTTTTTTTCCATTATCTGCAGACTATTCAAGAACATTTTCCCCCATGAATAAGGAGGACTGGGTGTACCCACACCACACAGTCAAAACAAAAAGATAATATGAAAGAAAAATGGAAAAGTTATGATTGTGTTATGAAAGTTTTCAAATCTTTACAGTGGTAAACCTAAATTTACAGTACATTTATAAAATTATCCTAAAGTACCACACAATTAGTTGCCATACAATGTGACACCTCTATGTATAATAAGTTATTCACATGACCCCAGAATAATTACACCTACTGTATCTTTGTAAGGTTCCTCAGCCAAGTAGTTAATTTCAAGCAAAGATTCAATCATGCAGACCAAAGAGCTTTTAAAACAACTCCGGGATAAAATTGTATAAATATACAGATAAGAAGAAAGGTATCTAAACATTTCAAATTCCCTTCATACTTTTATGAGTATGGTTGAAGTTAATCATTTACAAGTGGAAGGCATCCAGACACTGCCTAAATCAGGCTGTCCTTCCAGATTGAGCAGTTGGGCAAGAAGAAAACTGGTTAGGGATGCCAATGAGGCCATCAACAACTGAAAAAAAACATATCCCATATAAAATCTCATATCCCACATGGGGTTTGCAACAAAGATTCTAAGTGATAATTGAAAAACTACAAAACAAAACTGGAACTTTCTATAAGATGTAACACTTCGCAATTAGACAAGTGCATCACTGAGTTAACACCATCTGTACTGTCAAGCACAGTGGTGGTAGTATAATGTTATACATCTGCTTTTCATCAGCAGTAAATGGGACGCTTGTCAAGACTGATGTGACCATAGAATGAGCAAAGTACTAATCTTAAAGAAAAATCTGCATTAACTGGGGAAAAACAGTTAATGCTCAGCGGGACAACGATCAACAGCTTAAGACCAAAGCCACACTGGAGTGGCTTAAGAAACTGAATGTCCATGAGTGACCCAGTCAAAGTCCTGAACTGACTTTAATTAAATGCTTTTGGCATCATTATGATTAATTGATCATTCATACCCAATCATGATATACGTGAGTGACTTTTGTTGCATAAGTGATAAATCACCTCATTAGCAAAATGTGATTGAGCACAGGTGATAAAGTTGAATGTCAAAATAGATGAAAATGAAAAAGAGAGGAACCAATATGTCCAAGGTATTAAAAGAACAAGACCTTTTTATTAATCAATATTTTGAAGCAACCCCTCAGGTAAACTCACCAGCAGAGGAGCAATTTCATTTGCTTTTTGC